AAGGAATCAGTAAAAGTATCGAAAGATATTCAAGAAAATGGAAAAAAAGAGAAAATGGAAAAAACAAATTTTGTTGAAATAAACGTGATTATATTTATAATCATTGGCATTTCAGTGAGCAAAGAGTTGGAAACTTTCTTTGTAATGGAAATAATGAATTTCCAGTTTTTGTCGAAAAAACAACAACAAGACAAACATTAAAGTAAATTCAGTGGCAATTAACAGTTGAAATATTATATTTTATTTCCACGTTTCCGGAGATCCATTTCTATTAACATTGATATCATGATATTGCAAGTTTTCTCAGGCATAACAAGTCTCATCAGTGATTAAACGAAATAAAATGAGTGCGAAAAGATGATGGCGAAGAGAAGAGAAGCAAAAAAATGAGTTCGTTATAATTTTATTTTTAGCTCGAGTTGCATATTTTTGTGTAATTTCAGTAACCATATCATACACAATGTTCAATTCAAATTCATTTGGCTTCATCATTTTTTTACTTCGCCATCTTTTTCATCTTTCATTTCTTTTCTCTTTTTTTTCTGTCCTTTTCCTCTGATAATTGGGAACATTTCTCTTCTTTCCTTCGCTCCAGATCATTTTCGAGATGATTTTTCTCTTCATCATAAAAAAAACATGGGACAAGAATTTCTCAAAATGAATTTTTCTCTCTCTCTTCCGGAAACTGGATCAAGATGATTATTCAAATTTCTTGCTTCTGTTTCTCTCATTGTCAAGATGGAAAAAGGTGAATCTTTTGAGCAACATTTGAATAATCATTCTTGTCCATTTGATTCAAGCGTTGATTCCTTTTCGGTTCAATTGGAAATTTTGTCCACTTTTGTCCACATTCGGTGTTTGATGGTTAAATATTGATTATCAATTAAGTTGCATCGATTGGTAATGGTGTTTAAAGGGTAAAACTGGCAACTGGTTTGGTTGAGCCAAGAGTGTGAAAAAGAGGTGAAGATGAGGATAGATGGAAGAATGATGAGGATGAGTAAAAGTAATGGTCGGTATAATGGTGAGGATAAAAGCAATTTTACGGATAAAATGAATGCAAAATGTTTGAGACAGGAAGAAAGAAGAAGAAGAAGAAGAAAAGAGGAGAAAATTTTTTTTTCTTCAAAGTTTCCTCTTTCATCTCTTTTCATCTTGTTGACTCTTGAGTGTGTCTCTATTAACACAAAGTAAACTGTAACATTGTAATACTTTGAGCTGAACTTTTACCCTGATCTGCCAAGAAAAAGAAGAAGCAACAAGATTAGAAGATTAATGCACTTGGTGAACATTATTTTTGAATTTACTTGTGATAAAGTTCACAGTTTGTGACAAAATTAGTTCATCTTGTCTAACCTTTATGGAAGAGCCCATGGAAATGATAACAAATGGGTGAAAGGGCAATGGAAATTGTTATTGTTACAATTGTTATTGCCTTTTATGCTCTTTTCAGATGGATTATAAGTTCATTCAAGTTTAAAATCTGTAATAAACTTTTAAATCCTAGAATGTTTTGACTTCAACTCTCAACCTCTTCAAGTAGAGACTTTTTTTATGCTGACTTTTGTTGTTTCCTTTTCTGGCCAATTGTAATCCCATGTTATCATTATTATTCAATTGATGTTTCCATTCAAATTATCATTTGCTTTGCATTTTCAAGTTTAATATTTTTACTCATTTGCTTTGCTTTTTTTGCTACTTTTTTGTTCGCTTCTTCCTAATCATTTGTCTGTCTCTAGCTTTTTCTTTTGTTCAGGTTCTCTTTTTTTTGCTCCATTCTTCAAATCAGATAAATGGTTCATAAAAAGATGTTTAATCAGCACGTCTCAATGATTAACTTTTGTTTCTTTAAAACTTTCAGGTAAAGTGCAAACTGCACCCAAAAAAGTATCATCTCGTAATTGAAATGATTTGCTTTTTACTTGCAAAAACTTGTTTCCATAAACTTTTTACGCTTTTTTTTCCTAAAATGACCAAAATTAAGTAAATCTTTCTCTTTACAAGTTTCCAGTTAAACTTTTAGTTTCTTCAAGTTGCAGTGGCGGCCCAAATTTGCATTGAAACATTTTTTTAATGCACAGTCTGTTTTATGCTATTTTTGTAGTTACATTACAAGCTGCAATCACTGAACAATAAGAGGTGACAAAACTGACGGAAAAACAGATGTAACTTAGTTTTTACTATAGTTTCTTTGTACTATTCATTGTCGATTTAAAAATGATTTAAAATTTACTTTATCCAGATATAACTCATAGTGACCTCTAGTTTCACTTTTTCAAGCTTTGTTTTTTCTCTTTTGTATCGATAGAGGACGCCACAAGCATATGAGCAACTTTTGAATTTCTATTACGCAAAAGTTGTAAAAATTAGATTAGTCCGTAGTTGGTTATTACGATGATCAAACATAGATTTGAAATAGTCACAGAGAACTATTTCATCATTTATTCCATCGATGTATATTCACTTAAATCAACGATTGAATGCGATTGAAAAACAGCTTTTATTAGAAATTATTTGGATTTTTTACATAATCTTACATTGTTAGTAATGAACTATTGTGTTAATAGAGTCTGGTGTCTAAAGTTATCATAATTAGGCTTGTTGGGAGTGAATATCCAAGGTTCAAATAGCGAATCGACTTGAATGGTCTTGAGTGTTCGAACGAATTTTATTCAATTTACCAATAAAGGTTACCAAATTTCTTGTAAAAGTCCCTATTTGCTTCAACAATTATCCAAACCAGCGAATGTAGTTCCAATCAGATATAACTGACTAAATCTATTAATATTGCATTACACTCAAGTGTGATATAGTTAATTTACTCAATTCAATCATCAAAATGAAATGGAAATTAATTTAACAATAAAAGTTAATTTTAATCAAATTATTTTCTTTCATCAAATCTGTTATTCGATACAAATTGAATATTGTTTCAAGAGAATTGTAAATTTTCAAATAACGAACTTGAATTTCGTTTGGCAATTGACTAGTGAATGAATTTGATAAAATTGAAATTCAAATTCGAATTTGATAAACATGATAAAACATGGAATCATTAGGAAGCGAAAAGCGGACAAGAAAATGAATACAATTCTGGTCTGTAATTAGGAGAAGAAGAAGAAAAAGTTAGGAAAAAGAGTTGAGAGAAGGAAGAAAAAATGAAATGAAAAACTCTGGGTGTATGTAAGGTTAAGTCGGAGGTCTATAGCACAGACCGTTCGTGATTGAACCAAATTGAACCATAAGGACGAACGCTCAAGGTTATTCAAGTTCGCACTGCTATTTAGCGGCTTACTGAAATTTGGAGGTTATTTTAGAGTGGAAATTTTTTTATGTGACTTGATGTAAATTGCGTGTATAACTCTTGTTGATCAAAGGATATGCATGTTAGCATACCGAACCGTTGGAAAATTGGTTTTAAGATGAATTTTTTTATCTCTCAACGATGTAAGTTTTCAGCTTGTATCAATCATTAACCCGAAAACTTTTGCGCTATCCTCACTATTCACTTTCAAATATTATTTAAGGGTCAAATAGTAGTTTGACCTTGAATGACCTTGAGTGTTCGACCTTACTGCTATTAGATCTGCGAAAGCTTATGATACAAGTCTAAGATCTGTAGCATCAAACGTTCATGAGTTATGCCTGCAAACAGGCGTGAAATGAAAAATAACGACGAGTACAATACAGACTAATTCAAGCGTGCGTCAAGTTTTGTGCGTTTGCGAGCGCTGCTTGTCCCTCTAGGAATTATTTATAGTGCTACGCTATCTAATTCTGTAGGCTAATAGCAGCAGAGCCCTTTCATCTTCTGAAACTTTGTTTTATTACTTAAACTTTGAGTTTTTAACTCGCATTCACAGCCTCCATCTATAGTTAGATTAGTTCAACTCTAGAAATCGCGCAAAATTTAACCACAGTTGATTGTTGCAGTAATGAAATCCAAGCAATGGCTTCAGGTAATAATAGTTATTCATTTGTTAACTCAATTCAACAGGAAATGCTGGACTTTGCCTTTCTTTTTATTAGAAAAGACAAAACTTTCTCTTCCTGTTGACATCGACTCTAGTATTAACAAAATTGCAACCTTCCATTCAGGTGACACCCTTTGCTACGTGTTTTACCTGAAAAACCATTAACTGCATTATTCAACTTTTATTGTTACAAAATTTTTTAAAATGAAGAAGAAAGAAAAGAGTGGGAAAGAGAGGGACCAAAAAGTGTACATGATCCTCAGGCAATTGAATTTGAATGAACACATGAAATGATTTGAGCCTCAGTAACGTATTTACCCATCGATTGTTATCAAGGGAGTAAACTATTTTACTAAAGCGTGAGTCTATGCGCATCTACTTATCTTATCCTATTCTTTGCTTTCCTCAGTTCATCACATGTAACGGGCTTTACCACTTGCTATTATTGTTCCTTCGGTCAAGTGATAAACTTTTGACATCATTAACATCAATACTGAAACAATCCACAGTTCAATTCAAAACTTGAATTTCATTCAATATTCCAATAACCATCGTACCATTGCAATTTGACCTCAATTTTGCAATTTTCACTCAAAAATTCAAAAAATTTTGTTTTAGTTTCCAACTTCATTTCGATCATTCCAAAACCAATTCAAAAGTGAAAATCTAATCAAAAAGTTAACACCAAGACTGAGTTCCAATAACTGTGATTAAAACTTTTACAAAACTTTTCTTACTGCAATTACATCAATGATGAACACTCTTTCATGGTAAAACTAATCACATGGTAAGTCCGATTAACATATTTTCACCTTCTAATCTTATCTTTTATCTGCATTTAACTGAGTTATTGTGAACCAACTTTAGTAAATTGAATAATCGAGTTTTCAAGGTCTTTCCAGGCATAATTCAGATGATTTATTTCGCATAAATATTGCACAGTTTTCCATTTTTCTTCACCAAAAACAAATTCATCACAATTTCAATCCTGAGATCAATTAATAATTGAGCTGAAAGTTTATGATTCGAAGTGAAATAAACTCTTATGATCTTATGATCAGTAAATGAAAGTTTCTCGTTGAGTCAACATGATACTAATTGTTCTTGGAAAAGCATGGTGAGAAAACATTTCGCCATTTCAATTTTTCTGTAAAGAAAAAAGTTAATGAAAATTGGTTAAACAGAACGATTACAATTGAATGGAAAGTGAAAAGAAAATCAATTGAATAGAATAGTCTAAAAAGAAAGTTGAAGAAAACGCTTTTTTACATTTCCGTTTCGTTGTTCGAACAAACTTAGAAGTCCATTTTAAGGTCATTTCACATTATTCCGATTCGATTGGCTAAAGAACAGTAAAAGAGAGAAAAAACAATTTTTCGTAACTTTCAAAGTACCGTTTGCTTTCATGTACAATTAAATTGATCACAAGACATTCATTTAGTTTCCTCACTCATTCACTCAAATGTAACCCAAGTGAATCCAAGCAAATATCAAAAACATTAACGGATTGAACAATCTGAGTTACAAAACGAGAGGAAAACTTGTCAACAAGTTTTTTCACTTTCATCAATAACTCAGTTTTACGACAATTATTATGTCAACTTTCAACAGAATTGACCACTAATCAACTCGGTACTTTTGGTAACAAGTTGTCGTTGATCGGCGCTCAAAACAGGATGAAAGTGAAACCCTTCCAGAACCAAATGGTTGCCCAATTTTGGATCAAATTAAACGTCTCTTCTCTTTGGAGTCTCATCTTTACTTTATTGTTGATACTTAATTGTAAGTTTGCTCAACTTTTACCATCAACTGTGTCCTTTTTGAAATTCAGTTGCTCTTCTTTTCATTCAGTTCCATGCCTTTTCACCCAACACACAATTTACAAAGAAACCTTTTCCCAGTTTCTTTCTGTTTTCATAATTTTTGTTTTCATTGTTTGTCCACTGCAATATGATAAATATCAATATGGTGAACAATTGGCGAGAGGAAAATTTATCCTTTTCTTTCAATTGAACCTTCATCAGATGGTTCAGTGGCCATTGTAGTATCGATAGGAAATAGCTGTTTGGTGATTCAATAAAAGTCAACTTAACAAATTGTTCATCTTCATTGTTATGATAATTGACCAACAAGGAAAACAAAAATTGATTTCAATATTCACTTCTAAACTGTATTCACACCTTTGTTTCTTTGCTATTTAGATTTAACTTTATCGGTTGACTGTAGAGGCAATGGACCCGATTGTCCAGCCAAATTGGATAATTGTACAACCATGGTCAAGCCTTATCTTCATGATCTTAAATACATGTTTCCAACCACAATTGATGATGTCGACGAAATGTGCAAGTAAGTCAAAGTTTTTACATAACTTTTATAATTCTCAAAGTCGACCAAAGATCCTTGAAATAGACTCTTATTTGAGTGCAATATTAATATCATCTTGTGCTTTAGGATGAAGAAAATTCATCAATTATTGAACATTAAGTTCGTCAGATTTTCAGTTTAGTTTTCCCTTCTTCAACTCATAATCCCAAGTGCAATAAATTTTAAACTTTGGTCAGTGAAAAGTCTAGCTTATAAAGAATTGGATCTTTCATTGAATAAGAAACATGAAACAAATGTAAATATTGATGAGTCGAAATTTTTCCCGAAACGAAAAATTCGTTATTCAGTCAGAAATAAAAAGTTCTAGTTGATAATGATTTCCAGCAATCACAACAATGGAATCTTAAGCTCATTGGGTTCGCTTTTTTTACGAGGTTCTTGAATTGTTTACAGAATATCTTTTTATTAGTTGACAAAACCAAAGATTTTTATCAGATGAACATTGATGGAGGTTGTTTTAAATGTAAAATAAGAAAAAGTTCTGTGGGTTGTTTCAGATAATCATTTGTATCGAGTAGCAATAAGTTGTCTTTATTTTGAAACAATAACTTCTATTGAATGTTTTGGTGTTTTGAAGTTTCATTCATCGATTCACTTTGCATATTGAGCATATCAGTTTCAATTCGTGTTACCTTTTGAATTTTTTTTGACCGAATTTATGTCTTTCATTTATCATTCGAGTCTGAAAATTGAAACAAATGATTCGGATGTTAGTTTCATTGAAGTTTCATTTTTGTCTTTCAATTGAAAATATTGGATTTTTTGCAAAAAATTATTATTTAGTCCAAGTAATGAACTAATTGCATTTATTAAATTAAAACAATAGCTTTGGACTGAACAGAAAACATAATGAATTTAATCGAATCAAAATATATACATTTTATTATTTTTTCGCTTATCTTTTGATTCTGATGTGAAATGTGATGAACAAAGTGAAACAGCGATAATTAGCATCATCATCATTCACATCATTTTCATTTCAACTCTTCTTCCATTTCCTTTTCTTCCTCTTTTCAATTTCTTTTTTCCCTTTGTTTCCTCTTTTATTACACATTTAACACTTTATAGCATAATCTAAATCAAGCTCATCAACCTCATCATCATTGCTTTAACCATTTCATGGGTTAACATTTTACTCGCAATGGTTACCTTGTTAAGGCGAGTTGCAAGGCGAACCAAGTTAATTTAGAACTTTGTTTTTCGTTGAATCATCAAAACTTATCTGACTTACTACCTGTAATCACATCAAATGGTTGCAATTTTTCTTTAATCAAAAGCCAAACTATCCAACTAAACAAATCAATAAGCCAGATAAACCACAAGTGCAACTTTATGTTTATCAACTTGCAGTCAACATTTTAATCATTTGAAGGTCCGAAAGATCACACGAGTATCCAAGCCAAAAGTCCGTCAACTGAATGTTTTCAAAGATCATTTACAATAAAGTTGTCGGGAACAGAATTTTTGCTTTAGAAAAATCCAGTTACAGATATTGAAGTGATAGTCAAAGATTGAATGTCCAAAAACATAGCAAGTGGAGTTACGATAACATGATTTATCAGTTTCAGCAAAACTTGCTGACTATTACCAGCTAATGCCCTGCAGTAATATAAACAGAAAATCTCCAAGAAAATATTTTCTTTTTGATAAATGTTGAGTCTTCATGGAAACATTTGAATTTTAATTTGATTAATAGTAAATTTTGTAAATTGATAATCACCAAATTAAACTAATTTTGCAAAGTTCATGTTTAAATGCAAGTTCTTTGGAGGGAAATTAGGAAATTTCTTGCTCATTTCCATGATAATCTGGATTGATTGAATCACGATCGAGATAGGATCTGAGTTGAAATCTGAGAAAAGAGATGCAACGAAGAGAATTGACATTGAATTACAAACCGTGAGTGAAGAGGGCCAATTGTGGGTTTAGTTACAACGAAATGGTTTTTGATCAGATTCTTTCCTTTGAACTAATCTTTTGTAAATTTAAACTTCGGTACATTTTTTTCGGGAACGTTGTCGAATCTTGAAAAATGCTAGAAAATGTGTTAACATTAACATTCCAGTAACATTGAAATTTAAATTAAAGTTTCAATATTGGCTGTAAAGAATTGAATGAAAGTTTTGGAGAACAATAAACTGTCTCTTTGAAGGATGATGACAATAGTTAAATAATTAAATCAAGGCTATCATGATGTAGTTATTATGAATATTCAATTGTCAACTTTTGAAAATGAATGAGTGAGAAGAGGCAAGTTAGTCTTCTTTGTCATTCTAATGACAATAATATTCAGTTTCCACAATTGTGACACCAACTCGAGGAAAACAAAAGTACCTATGATTTATGAGTTTCACTGTTAATAAAACTCAGAATCAGATAGTCTCTTTCATCTCCTAATAAATTTGTTTTCCCCTTCACTCAACCACTTAGATTGATGTTATCATAGAGTCGCTCTTGTTTTGTTCAACTAAACTAAACAAAAGCAGAGATAATTTATCTGGTTTATGAAAAAAGACGAAGGAGAAAAAAAAAGAAAGAAATGATTCAATGAAGAAGCAAAAATATCAAAATGAAACGAGCAAAAAGGGAAAATATTTTTTTCCTCTTTTCCAGCAAAAAAAGGCAGCATCTTTGATTTAACATTAAGTTGACTAAAATTGGCGAAGACAGAAGATGATACAGATGATTAAGATGACAAACCATGAACTGAGGGAAACAATAGACTGAGAAGGAATTTTCTTGTTCGATATTATATTGCAATTTTCCTTTTCTTTTCAACATAATCATACATATAACATCAATTTCATGTGATCACTTTTTGATTATCAATTTGAAACCAAATTTTTGTGTCACTTTCTTTTTTTCCTAATGTTGGACAATGTTGCATCAAAATGAACGGATAATGAAGAAAAGAAGAAAAAGTTCTTTCATGATAAAAGACGTATTCATTGGAGCAAATAGTTGAAACCAAAAGAGTTGGTAAAAAGAAAAAACCGTTTTTTTCGGTCAACAAAATATTCAATGAATCGGATAGTTTGAATTATTATTGATAATGTTGTGTAAAAATTGTTTTTGTTATTCAGTTTACTTGGAACAGCTACTTGAACATTCTGTTGACATAATCATGTTGACCAAGACTGGGAAGGAAAAGGATGCAAAAAAAGTCAATGACAGAATTATTAGAGAAAGTTCTGTTGGAACAAAGTTTTTTTTCGAATTTCTGTGAATTGATTGGAACTTGACTTTCAATAGATTTTAATTTTTATTTGAGTTTCAATTATTTTCTTGGTTAGTTTAGGGAAGAGTTTCAGGTTAACTCTTTGTTTCTCTCTTCTTATGGTTAGTTAAGTCTTGGTAAAATATTGTATTAGAAGGAAACAATCAATTTGAATCTTAATTAGCATTGCAATAATTAACAGTATAAACTAATTAGCATAGATTGTGTGTTTGTTACTGTTTGAGTGAAAAAACAAGAGAAACAAACAACAAACTGATTTCTTTTTCTTCTTCATCTTCTACCTTTTTCATCTCTCTTTTCCTTTGGCAATCAATTTTCAGTGAAACACTGTGGATGATGAGCAAGATGAATGAGAAGATAATGAGTGCTCTTGAATTTCAATTAACTTTAGAGGAAAAACTAGGGTTAAATTATTAGCATAGTTCATTGAAAAGGAAAACCAGATAATCAGTTAATCAACAAAATTTAAATTCAATCAAAATGAGTAAACTACATTGTATGAGCAATAGTAGAGCGAGACAGCTAACAAAAGAACAATTAAAATATCTTTTGTTTCAAGTTGAATCAACTTTATATTCGACTATTACCCCTGAATATTTGAAGTTTTTCCATCAGTTTTTAGATATTCGGTCTAGAGTTTAACCATATTTTCGCATTAAAGTTTACTCTCATAGACTCTCATCAACGATATAGTCGTCACAAACTTGCAAATGAACTTCATGAAATGTGCAAATAAGAAGATAGGAGTAAGCTCAGTCTCTGAAGTAGCTTTTTATTAATTCAAGATGAAATCAAATTCGGATTTCGAAAAATGACTGTTTTATTATTTTTCTCAGAAAACATATCTCAAAGGTTATTAGTTTTGAATTTTCGTATTACATGACATTTCGCGAGTGAAAGTTTTTATTCATAACATATGCTAAATAGAATCCAATAACCGTTAGAAATAAATATCAAAATAGTGAAAATTGTTTTGTAATTTTTATTTAAAAGTTAAAAAAGGGTAAAATTCACTTTGCCGATAGTGACCGATAGTGACTTAGCCGAATATTGTGAGAGAAGTTCAATACAATTAAGTACAATCGGTATAATAAATAGTCTGCGAGATCAATGTTGAGATGAAAAAATACTTACTGGTTCAACAAGTTGTTTGATAAAGAATGGTAATTTAAGGTACTGTGCAATTTTCGATACTAAATCGATTTTTCATGAGATTCCATTGGCAATCTACAGAAGCCAAAAAAATGATTGAAATACTAACCTGATAGCCAAATTCTTGGAATTGTCGATAATTATAGTTTTGGATAGATTGAGAGTAATTCCATAAAGGTGCTGGTAACGATTCAGGGTGGCATTCATTGATGACAGGTTGGACCGTAACCATTCAAAAGATCTAAATCCTCCTTGGTAGCTTTCCTCATCGGTATGTGTTGATCATATTGGTCAATGTCTGACACCCCCATGGTGTTGGTTTCCAATGAGCTACGGCCCATAACTCAGCATGAGTTACATCATTCCTTATGGCACGAAAACAATGCGTGAATTTTTCTACATCATACTATAGGGTTGATATCGAAGTACCAGCAACCGGTTCTTCCACTACTTCGCCGTTAACAGTTGTTATAAGAGTTATTGAAGTCGAGTTAGTTGCCATTGTTGTTAATGTCAGATGTAACAAAAAACAAAAAAAAAGGTTGAATAGAAGTGAGAAATTGTGATTAATGTGTGAAAAATGTATACAATACTTTGTGTAGGGTCAACGTTGAGCTTTAAAGTTTTTGTGAGTCCAAAAGGGACTTTGTTCATGTATTTATAGTCAATTCTCTAATCGAGGATTTGGATTCAAAAAATATTCTTCACATTTATTCTAGTCGTCGTGGTATTCATGGTTGGATTTGCGACAAGCAAGATGCACCATAGCTGTCATAAAATGGTGTCTTCCAAGCCACTTTTTAATATGTTGATTGAATAGGCGGTGCGAGGGCAAAATCATCAAATTGATGTAAGAATGGTCAAGTCTGATCAGTTTTTATTGAGTAATCAATGTAAAAATAATACAGTAGAAAGTTATTGAAGACAATTCAGTAAAAATTAATGGTATAAAAGTATTAATTAGTGAAATCTTATTAGTATTGGAAAAATAGTTTTGAAATATTGCAGCAATGTTCCACCGTCAAATAGCTAAGCTAGGAGACAAGATTTCAGGCTCCTATCAAATCCAAACCAACACACGAAGAGTCAATTCTCTAGAAACTAGCATTTTGATTAATCAAAGAATGGGTAAAATAGTTATAAGCTATCAATAATAATGATACACTTATCGTGTTGATTCACAAATCAGAAATGATGTTGAATGAAAAGCCTTGCTAAATGTAATAAGCTTGGTCAAAATTAAATTGCATCAATAGTTACGAAATGGATTCATCAGATATTTATTGTACTTAATATTTTCATGATAATAACCGTTGTTTAGGCTATGCAGAAACTGATATCAGAACTATTGTTAAATATAGTGAATAAACTGTAAAAGGAAAAGACTCTTCTCTTCTTTCCTTTCTTTCCAGGCTCAATCATATTCTTCATTTTAATTCCTCAATAGATTCAGTGAACCATGAAAATGTCCCTTTAATCAGGATTGAATAAAAACTAGTTTTCCATCCCAAATCAATTGATCGACCAGATTAATTTCAACATGATAATAATCAAACAATAGATAATCCTCTTTTCCATTGGCACACAATTTTCCATCAGAACTTTTGATCGCTTTACTTCTTTCATCAACCTCATAATCCAATAACAATCCCGAACAATTAATATTTTCCTTTGACAAACCAATTGAAATGTAACGATAATTATGATGAAAGTTGAATAAGTTTTCACTCTAACCATGTAATGAGACTAATAACAAGTGACAATGATGAATAAGGATAATATTTTAAACATTTTCAGTTTACTTCCAACATTGAAAACTATTTTTCTTCATCTTTTCATCATCATTGTTTAAGAACGATTAATCATTTTTTTCATCTCTTTTGCTTTTCTTGTCATTATTTTGACTTTTTTTTCGTTTTGATTTAAAATTTGGAAACATTTTTCAGGAATGTTTCACTGTGCACTAATTAATAGTGTTTCCCAATTTACATCATTAAGATGTTGTTCAATTTCATTTCAATCTTTATCATTAGTCTTTTTGAGTCATTTTGTTTCAAATTAAACTTTAAATTGTCTTTCAAAAAACATCAATGTTGAATTGAATAAGAAGGTTTGTTAATTATTTGGGTATTCATGTGTTTCCAGAACAACACTTTTTGCTGTTGTTGAACAGAGAAATGTATTTATACTTCTTTTGTTCATTTATCTGTACTTTAAATGGTTCATGTTGTGTGATGTTTAGTGCGATCCAGTTGACAATATGCTGTAACCCACTCCGGAAACAGGAAAACTCATCAAACGGAAGTTGACAACCATTTATCTAAAGACTTCTTTTCACTCAACATTTGAACAATTATCTTGTTCAAATTTTTCCGTGTAACTTGCTTTTTAACCAAATCAATTTCATTCGTCATCCAGTGTTTTTCATGGAAAAAAGAGGAATGAACTTGAGATAAAAAGAATCAAATTTGGCTTAAAATTAATATTGCTGTCACAATGGGCAAATTATCTCATCATTTTAAATCTTTCAGCGATTCATAAAACATTAAGAGCGCAAATTTGCTTGAAAATAGTCAATATACATATTTCACTGAGCATAACCTATGCTCTTGAAATATTGATAGCAAGATTCGAGAAAAAAGTGTTCAAAGATTAACAATTTCCAAAACATCAAGGTTCTAGTCCTGTTGTCGCAAAGTCTGAAATAAGCGTCTTGAACCTTTTTAAATTACCTAGACTCTTGAGTTTAGGAAGTTTGTTGAATTTTTTTGATAGATTTATGGATCTTTGGTCTCAGGAAAAGTTGAAATAAGTCTAGATATAGCATTAAGTTGTTCTCAGTTTTTAATATTTTAACGCGCTGTGAAGAAATTTTGAGTTACAATTACTTTCAGTAAATTCATTAAAAATTATGAAAGATGAATCATAAAAAGGTCGATTTGATTCAATATTTACTATTATTTTTGGCGATTATTTGTTCCAAAACTGCTTGATTGAAATGCTTGTTAATTTCTGTATCTAAATGATTCTTTTCTTTTTTACAGAATGTGGAGTCTTTTCGTCGATTGTGTTCGTCGATATGTTACAACTTGCTTTACAGAAGAAAGACGAATGAAGTTCAATAGCGCAGTAGAAGATTCGGTTGCCGCTGTTCACGCAATTTGCAGCTCAGAAACTGTCCAAAGAGGCAAGTTCATTTCCAAATCTAGTTAGAACTTTATCCATAATTTTTCCATTTTCTCTTCTTCAACAGAGTACCTTTCCCATGCTCAATGTTTCAGACGAGTTTCAGTCGAAAATTGTGGCTCATCTTATAAACAGTTAATCGATATTGTTTCCAATCAAAGGTCGCATGATGAACACATTTGCTGGTAAGTATCGAAAGCAACTTCAAAATTGAATCCTTTGGGTGTTGTTTTCATTGAAAAGATGATCGAAAATGTGTTTAAATTTTCTAAATGAATCTCAATTAAAATACAGTTTTCAATCTGATGACAAGAAAAGTTGATTGTTCAATAATGATTCCATTTAATTTTATCTTAGCTTTTATGGTCACTTCAAAGAATGCGTATCTGACCCATTGATACGTGAATGTGGACCCAGAGCTCGTAATCTGATGGACCATTCAATGGGATTCTTAATAACTCGATGTTCCCAGAAGTACACTTTTAGGTAATTTAAAAAAAAGATGTTCCATTGTATTCCATTGTTACCAGAATCTCGAACAATTGCTATTTTGAGAATTGGTTCATTTCCATCGATTCCAACCAATCAATTGTTTCATCATCATCATGATATTGTTTTTCTTTGTTACTGATTAATCTTTATTTCTCAACTTTTTTCAGCTCTGGAGCTCCATGTTCAACACCAGCACCAGCAACTGAACGAACAATTGCACCAAAATATGAAAGTCTCAACAGCGACGACACAAACAGTAAATCGGAAAAGATTCAAGAGATTGAAGGATCAACAAGCACAATTAGCTACTCATTGCCTCGTCAAGGAAGAATTTCATCTTCCAACAACCTCAGAATTCAATTTCTCCAGCAAATCAACTTTTCTCTTTTAACTTTCATTCTACTCTCGATACTTTGGTGATTCAGCATTTGATTTTTACTTTCATTAGTTCAATATCCATGTTATGAAACAATTGAGAAACTTACAAGTTGTTAGTCCGAAACTATTCATGCAATGTACAATAACTTCACTGTTTACCAAAATTCGTTGAAAGTAGCACCTAATTGAACCACTCGATGTAACTCGATGAAAAACTAAAGTCCATTCTTTTAATTCTCATCACTCATTTAATTCACAAATTAAATTTGATTTTAAAACAGTTGTTCGCCCACTTTTAAATGGCAAATACAAGTAAATATAAAAATGTTATGATGAAAAATATGGACGGAAAGGCAAGCCTTGAGATCATGTCAGCCATGTTATTTGAGTCGGTTGGCTTCAACAGTTCTTTAAGTATTTTGGGCTGAAGTTCGGTAAACTTGGAGCTTAACCATGAAGGTGAAGTTGTTTCTCCGGGTTTTGCGTAAAGAGATTCATTGATTGCTGTAATGTATTCAACCAGACATGCGAAAATGGTGAGCGTACAAAGAGTGTACCAAACATTGATTGCCCAAAGGCCTGTTTGAGGAAAGCTCATCACTGTTATTGATTGGCGAATGGACAAGATTGTGAATGAAAGTACAATGATGATGATGCGAGCTGAATAGGCCGTCATGGGAATCCAAAAGCCTCCAAAGGAAAGGCCAACAGCTAATATGGTAGGAAGAAAATGGGAAATCAAGTGACCTCCGATTCGACGAACCAGCTTCAAACTAGCCTTGATGCATGAGCTTCCTGTTGGTTTAAATAAAGTGTTCAGTTTAAATAGTTTTGCTATTTTCTTGTTGAAATAGAAAATTGGACTTACCTTTCATTGGATTTTCAGAACATTCCGTTTCTTTCCAATATGTAATTCGATATTTACTCGACTCTTCGGCCAGTCGATTCATTGATAGGGAATTCCATCTCAAAACCACGGTTTCAGCTGATTCAGATACTGAAAAGGGAATGCAAATGATAATTAGTTAGCTATCAGTGAAAGCAGGTGAATTTAAAAATAAACGCAGGAAGAAATTTGTAGAACCGATCATGTCGATGGTATGGCCGTAGTGCATCATGGAATAGAATTAGAATGCGATTTTTAAGATTTTTTCGGAGATTCGCTTTCGAATGTTATCAGATGCTTTAACAAGATTTTCTGTGCTATTGAATTCGATAAAATAGCAAATTCGAGAGTAAGAAATCATTTCCAAATGAAAAAAATTTCTTCAACTTTCAAACCAGAAGCTTCTCATTCAGTTTAGATACATTTATATCACTTTTTACAAGCAAAAATAGTTGAATCGCGAAATGATTAAACTAAAAAATCTTTTCCAAGCCAAAAGCTTCAAAAAGTTTAAGCTTAAAATGATGAAAAATTAAGCTCATGAGAATAGTAACTGAGCAATGAGCTATTTTTAAGTCATGCAATTCTTAAGCTAAAAACAACAAAAAACTTATTCCAAGATTCTTTCAAAATCTTCGTCAGTTCATAAAAATTGTTTCATAACCACAATCGAGTTTGAGAAAAGGTCAATTGCCGATGTGAAAAGTAACTGCAATGTTAACAATGTTATCCTTTCATTTTCAAATGCACCGCCAAAAAGTGTAACCAAGTCAGTAGAAATTGTGATCAATAGGTGGAGCTGGAAGTTTCATTAGATTGAAGTTATCTGATCATGCAATTGGAATTTTCATTTTGCTCAGACTACTTGTTCACTTGAAAGACTTCTTTAGCAAGTGCAGACAAGTTGAATAAAGTTGACGTTAAGACAGAGTTAAATTGTTAATGATGATGAATGAAGCTTAGTATATAATGATTAACATGTTGCTTGCCATTTGATTTGTTAATAAAATTTGATTAAAAAAAAGCTGGTTAACATGCTGAGCTTTTATTCAATTATCAGGTTTCCGTTTCAGTCATAATTGAATAGTTCCCTTGGGAGATTTATTTTTATTAAATCATCTAACAAGTCAAAATAAAATCTTTCATGTTGGGTGTGATCATCATGCAATGGCACATGAAAAACGATATCCAATGGTTGACCTTGCTTCTTGTTCGCCTTACACTTGGCATAATTTGATAACCATAATCAGCACTTTCCCTCACCACTTTACATGAAACAATTTTTTGGCAACAAAAGATGAAAACCATTTTCCAAGCCCTTTAGCAACAAACCAATAACCAAAGAAAACTGAAAGTCGCAAGTCAACCCAAAGTCCATTAATCTAGTTAATGGTGAAAAGCATTTAATGGTACATTTTATGTGTCATTGAGTCACGTTTAGACAACAAAACATTTGGCTACTTGTAAGTCACTGGACATTCAACTGGTCAAGAGCTTTGTCAACTAAAAGCGCTTGAAACATTTGAATAATTTCATTGAATTTCATTTTCACTTGAAAATTGATTTAGTTTCAAGGGTTCAACTCGAGTGTTGTTGAAATTAATTAAACTTTATTAACCAAATTGTCTATTAATAAATCATATTTACTTTACTCGCTAAATCAATATTATTGATATTCACTATAAAAGTTGACTGATTAATGACTTTAATCAATTTTATCAGATTTACTATTTAATTAGTCTCTACTGATGAGTTTATTATTTTTGGTTTACCATTTATAGTGATTGTAATTAGGTTCAGTTGAATGGTTTTTATGAATGAAATGTAAGCATTTCTTGAAAACTCATTATAACAATTGAATCGATTGAAGAGTATCTTTTTTCTTGTTTTCTGTTTTTCGTTTTGAGGGAAACACGAAAAAATGTAATCAATGTGATTAAATATTTAACTATCATTTAACCGATAATTAGATGTTATTAAACCATTGACAGGTTGATTGATTGAACGTTCAGGTGGAGAGGTTTGTTGCAAAAGGCAACGAACAAGTCATTATTAATGTTGATACTTACGAGGCACAATTTCAAGGTTACAATCCAATTGATCAAATGGATAACTGGAAAAATCGTTGGAACAAACTATGTTTAAACTGATGAAGGCCAAAAGTTGCAGGCGAGTTCGATTGGAGAGAGCAATGTACATGGAAGAGTCGACATTGGATGATACAGAGCCGGAAACAGAGTTGACAAAATAGAGATTTGGAATCCAAAGAATGTCTTTCCAACGTCGATCAAGCGAGATTCGTCGAGAAGGACCAATATTTCGTGGCGTTTGCAGTCTAAAGTCATCCCAACTTTTCGTGACCAAAAAGTTTATCCTTTGAACCTTGAAAAGAAAATGAAAATGAAAAGATCGAAGAGTGCGATTCAATCGATGCTCTAATTGAACAAAAGTCTTCAACCTTTCAAGTGTTTATACAAATCGATACAAACTTTTCAGTTTTTTTATTTGCTTTTTTGGAAAAAGTTTTGAAAACTGAATTCATGCCTTTTCCAATCTTTTTTTGCCTGAAAAGTCAACGATATTGAAATGGTGACAAATTGGTAGAGAAACTTGTTCTTGGATAAACCTTTTGATGCTCAGTTTCGCCTTTTCAGGTGATGAGAGGAAAAGTTGAATTTATCGTGAAATTACGCACTTTAATTGGCAATAGAAGAGGAAGAAACAATGGAAGGAAAGTTGCAACCAAGTCGTAAAAACACTTAATCACTTACAGTACACACTTAGCATTGTTACTCAAACTTTTGCTATTTCATGATCAATTTAATAATAGAAAATGATTCATGATTAATCAATTTATTTTTTGATAATCAATGTCTATTTACGTCTAATGGTAAACACATAAAATTGAACAATAAACTGAGAAAATGTGAGCTCAATGTGCGAATATTGGAAAAGGCGAATTGCAAGGTTGCACAGAAATGAATCAATTTCCTTCAAGATGACAACCTTTTGCTACGACAAAACCCAAAACCCAAAAACTGTGAAAACTGAAAACTAAACTAAAACTGTTAACTAACCTACACCTCAACCCTCATTGGTAATTGAAACAAATGATCAATACAAGACTGAACAAGGAAACAGCAAGGACAGAATGTACCTTCCAAGTGCTAATTAAGTATTTACAGTTGAAGGTAAATTACATTCACTTTTACCTGTGAAAATGAGAAAAAGAGTTAAACCTTTGATTATCGTTTAAAAGCTGATAAAAAAGTCTCAATTAACTTGATCACCTTGATTCTCAGTCTCACCAGTTCGTTAAGTTTCATTTGTCTCTTTGCTTTTCATCCAATATTTTTCAACACTTATATTCTCAGGTGAAAATGTAACCCAACTCAATATTACCAAAAGGTTGTCTTACCGAATGATCACTTGTTGGACGAATCGATTGAATGTAAAGATCGAGATCAACTTTGATTGGAGTTTCATTGATGTAAGGAGCTTGTTGGTTGTTGTAAAGATTTGGTACAATCTCGGCTGGACTCCAAATCGAGTTGCGTCTGTAACATAAATAATAATCGAATCACTGAAAAGCACTTTTCTTTTTTTGAAAACTCATTTTCACTTACAAACGATTAGCCATAAACTGTCCATCGCCAAAAGGCTGCTGTTGGCACTTTAATCCGGAGAAAAGGTTCAAACTGATGACAATGAAAAACAATAAACTTGAACATTTGGTTGATGAAAATTTATTGATCAACAATAAAAAAATCATCCTTTTCAGCTGAATGTAACTATTGAATGGAAAAATTGATTTTATCGGAAAAACACAGAGATTCAGCTATTTCAAGTCCATTTGGTACAAGAGATTTGGTAATTTCATGATTGGAAAATGAATCAATTTTCGAAAAAATGAATGCGGGAAAAAGGGTTAACTGTATCAGTGAGAGGCTAAATTGCAAGTGAGTTTCGTTCGTTTTTCCATTTCCATTTGCTTTCCTTTTTGACCAAAAGGAAATGGTCTTGATCTTTACCGTGGATCCGGTGCTTAACTGAATCACATTGAAGTATCTGAGAAGGAGCCAAACTGTTTCAAATAAAGATATAAACTGTTTATTGAGAAACTTGGTTAACACACTTGAACAATTCAAGTGTAAACACTTAAGCAGAAGCTTGTTTTCAGCCTTTTTTTCTTAGTTTAACATTGAAATCATAATGAATCAAAACTAAAGTCAAATATTGTGCAAACCTTTCATCAACATTGCTATCAACAGATTGGAACCGAACCTGACAAATGAGTTTAGTTTCGAAATGAGTAAATGTTAATTAGAATCATTTGCATTTCAAATAACGGTAATCTTGATTTTCTACTTTTACTCTCTTCCAATTCGTTTGTACAAATGTTGCATTGACATTTAATTCAAGTGCTACTTCGATGCAATTTTCAAGTACGGAAGTAAAGAAACTAGGACAACTTTTCACCTTACATATCGTGTTTAATATTGAGAAGCAATTGAGTTTGATACTTTCTATTAGATTGGTTAATCAAGTCTCACTAAACATCTGCTTTTTTAGATCAGATATCAGATATCGATGAACAAGTTGCCAACAACAAGCCACTGCAAAGAATCTCAGTCAATCTCGACAATAAGCCAAGTGAAAATAAAACTCAATCTTTTACCTGAATATGAGTTTAGAGAATTTTCTGCTTTTCAAATCGTTTTCGCAATTCTTTTATGTAAAGGCAGTCAAGTGTTGATGCATCTAGTTATTAATGAGATTTCATCAGGTTTATCAATCGGAAAAAATCACTGAATTTCCCAATGACTTAACAAGTAGGCGATCTGGGCTGAGGGAATCAGTTGAATCAACACAAGAAACAGTTAAAATTAAAAGAGTAAAAACAAGAAAATACTTGCAAATAGACTCGAACCGGAATTACCTTGAGGTTTGGCATTGGGAACACGTCAATCATAATAGAGTCACAATTCAAATATTAGTATTTGACTCAACTTCCACTATGCATCATCATAGATAAGTGTAAAATTAGGCGAAAATTATTTTGCAAATGAAATTCTAGCTAAATAGCTTGAACCGAGTTGGACCTTCTTCAATCATGTAAATTCTTTGTCATCGATTCAGCTATAATACATATCATCAACACTTGAAAATTTTCCATGCAAAGTTTTTTGTTTAATAACCCAATATGCTTTTGACATACTTACCTTTTAATTTATTGTAGCTAAGCAAAGTTGTTTTAGTACCAACTAGAAGTCAGAAGAAAATAGAATCGATGTTTCAATAAAAATGACATCAGACCACAAACATTAAGGATATTCGTCTGTGGAACTTGGCCGACCTTAGAATTTTTGCCTATTCTTTGATCAAACCTAGGCCTACCATTTGAAGTTACTAGGAAGGACGGAAATCTAAACTTTTATTTTTTTAGGTTGAGCATACCAAGCTGAGTATGGCAACATGGCATTGTATTCATATGCAACACATTCATATGTATGGCTGGTCCCAGGCTGTGCTAAAATATGCTTAGCTGAGGTATGCAATGAGTTCTCGCTGTATAACTATTTCTTGCAATATGAGATTGACCTGGACTTTACTTGTGGTGTAACGGTGAAAAAAATTCTGTCATCGTTTATCTAATACCGAATAGAAAATTGTTAACAACAAACATCCAATTTGAGCAGAATATCCGTAAAAATACTTTTTACCATGAAACGACCAATAAAGACTTACAACAGTTTCCATTTGGATTTGATTTGGTAACATATTGAACCAGCCACTAATGTCATGAATCACGCCATTCAGAAAACTAAACAAATAAGTATTTCTCAACCGAATCTCCTTCTTTTCTTTTTTATTTCGTCTCAACAGAATTCCAAAATATTAGCTATCAAACGAATATCTGTGCATTTCCCATTTCGAAAAAAATTTCATGCACTAATCTTGTCCATGTATTTTGATGACCACTCGCCACTTCCTTCACCATCATCATTAACTTTCCCTGAGAGTGAATTGAAAGATGCCATTTTGCTACTAATGATAGCTCTGACAATAAAGGTTCAGAATAGAAGAAAATATTCTCGGAAAATTAAATTATATCATTGTCTAACCATTCTTCTTCAAATGCTGGTTCACGAGGACAAATCGCACAGCAGGCTAGTAAATGCGCAAAAGCCTGGAAAAAAAGTTTCCTTTTTTCATTTCATTCTCAGTTAATTTGAGTTAATCATTGTCATTGATCTTTTAAATGGTCATCTTCACAAACAGGAAAAAAACGTCATTTACTGTTTTTTATCAACATTTTATTTATATTTCTGTATACACTGAACATCACAGATTACAATTGGAAAGTGAAAACATTAACAAAGATGCGAGGATTGAAGTGCCAAAGAAGACAAAAACTATCGTTTAAATACCCTGTTGATTATAATTGTTGCCTTAAGTTGGGTAGCAAGTGAAATATTAACAATGATCGGCAGTAGTTTTGGTAACGGTACAACATCAATAAACGAAGGTTTGAAAATAGTTGGTTGAACCTTTTTACGCTTTCGATTCCAAGTTGAGAGTCGAATCCCATTCACTCATCTTTGAAGGCGCCTTTCAACGATTCCTTGTTGATTGTGTTGGATTAATTTGTTGTTTACTTAAACACATTTACTTTCAATATCAATGAAAGCATTGAAATGTTGATTTGGCAACAGTTAATGGTAATCAGTTGCTTCCTCTTCATTTAAACAGTTTAATGTTGAACTGTTTACACAAGTTATTTAACATGAACTTTGTGAATAAAAGTTTCTTTTAATCGAAAATGAGAATGAATATTCGTCAGATGAAGAATGGAAAGATAATGAGGATAAAAAGGTTAATGTTGACACTGGACGATATTATTACAAAAGATACTCAAAGTGAAAGGTTATTATTTGATTAGATGACAATCCAAGGGAGACTCTGAGAGACTTTAATCACAGATATAAAAAAATAAGCAACTTTGCTCCTTTTGTACAAATTGATATAATAAGTTAATTTGTCTATTAAACTGATGAGATTGGAACCAAAAGTCCATGAGATTGCGTCCAAAGAAATCATCTTTTATCCTTAAAGATGAAACAAATTATTAGCATCAATGGAAGAGAAAAAAATATTGAAAAGATTCTTACTCCAAATCCATTTTCTTTTAAAGGCTTTGTTGCGTGTGCGTCCGAATTACGTTGAATGTACTGATGAAGTGTTGATGGAGGAAGAAGAGAAGATTCAAGGGAAACAGGAAAAGGGTTGAACAGGGTAAACGGAAAAAGAGAGAAGAAGAGAAAAGAGTTAAAATAAAAAATGGATTGTGCAGTTGAGTGAAGAAAAAAGTTTGCGGTTCATCAGATGATAACAGTTTTGATGACAAAATAAATAAGCAAGTCAACTTTGTCATGCTAAAAGTGAATTCAGTTCAGTGCTTTAATGGGTTGCAAAAAAGGGAAAAGTAGAGTTCGATTAAAGGTAATAAATGAAAGTGAAAAGTTGCCAGCCAACAGATGAATAGAGATGATAAGAAAGGTGCATCGTTAGCTAATAAAATAATGGAGACTATCATTTAAATAATGTAATCATTAGTTTATTTTTTTCTTCGAGTTTTGCTCTTTTCTGTAGCTTCTCTTTACGAGAATTGGTCACGTCATGTGCGATCGAAAATGTAAACATGGAATTTCAATTTTATTCCAAACCAGTGACTGAACAATAAAGGAATTTGAGAAAAGACAATTTTCTACTTTTTCCTCTTCTTCAATCAATGAAGAGAAAATTCAATTTTTCCATTTTCAACTAAACTCGATACTAGACTCTAATCATGAAATATTCAGTTTACCCGTCAATTTGAGTGCTTCGTTGATGCCATCAACAGCCAATGGCCCATCAAGTGCCAATTATTGAGTAAAAATATTGACTCAATTATTGCTGAAATTGAACCAGTTAAGTAAATGTATAATTCAAGTTTCAATTGCTTTTACCTTTTCTAGCTTTTTTTATGGTGAAAGGTTTAATAAAAGGCTCAACTTGACATGGATTTGATCATAAATAGTTTGATGAGATGAAACTGTTTGTCAATTGTTTACAGAATTGTCGGAAGCTGTCAGTCAATCCCTTGAATCACGAGCAATTGAAATTGTTGGCAGACAATTTGGAGAAAAAATAAGTTCTTTTTACTCAATTTCTTGAAATGTTTTTAAATAGATTTACAAGGTTTCCTTTGATTGATCAAACATGATGCAAATTGAGATGAACTTTTGTCTGCTTCCTTTGAATCAAACTTTTCTTGTAAAATTCTTGTTCAGTTAAACTTGAAATGAATGGAAAAAAATAAACATGAATTTAATTAACCTACAGATGAAATTGAAACACGATAAATGTATGAATTTTGATACAAAAATGTTGGTAAAAGAAGTGAAAAAAATGAAGAATGTTTCATGAGAAAAGAAATGTTACTTCTAATTAACTTCTGAGTTGAATTTGGATTAGCCAAAAGTAAATGGAAAAGGAAAGAGGAAAGGGAAGAAGAAGAAGAAGAAATATTTTTTATGAGTTTCATGTAAATTTGCAAGTTTTCATCATTAGACTCGTGGAGATGAAAGATTGTTGCTCATGAGAGTTGTTAGGGTTGGGGATCAAAATGAATGGATAAGTTGATTTTGATAAAGTGATTTGACTTGTGAGAGTGAAGTGTGGTTAAGAGTTTTCAAGTTGCGAATTGAATCAACAAAACTAGGCGAAGATGAAGAGAGGAAAAGATTGTTACTCAAAGTTAATGCAAATATGGAATGAAAGAGGAAGAGATGAAATTCAATTGTTTGTCGATTTGCGGATAAAAATAAAATTCATCATTTTTCTCGTTCTTTTTTCCTCTTCTTCTTTCCCATTCTAAATTCAACTTTAAACTGTTTCCAACAATGTTTCATTTCAAGTTCATTTTTCATCTTTCATCGTAAGTTGTTTCTTCTAATCAGAATAAGAAAATGAATCATTTCTCTGTACAGATAATTCTCAAGGTATTCAGTGATATTCAGCCTTATCTATTAATCATGTTGACGACTTTTCTTTTCTCTTCATCACTTCAAAGATTAAAAAGTAAATGAAATTGACACTTGATGGACCAATAATCAGGTAGAAAAAAAGAAGCTGTAAAAAATTGAATTTCCAAGTCAATTCAATTCTCTAAAAAAACTAATCAACAGTTGAAATGATGATTTCCTTCTTTACCAACATTAAGCCACAGAGTCGATTGTTTGAGTTAATTTATGACAATTTATTTTTACTCGTTTGACCCAAATATCAGGTTTACTTGACATTAAAAGTTGAGATAATCTTTACCATAATCATTGGTTAAACTGAAAGCTCTTTCGGATCATTGAGTCTATTAAATGATGAAACTTTTATCAACTGTCACTTTTAGAGGGAAAAGTTGAAAATTAAAGTTTGGTTAAACTTGAAATTTTCACTCATCTTTTTACTCAACTGTTTATCAGCTCTTGAAGTTTATTGTTACAAGGTTAACTAAATTGAACAGTCAATTGGTTTGGATAAAATATGAACATAAGCTTCTATTGCAATAATGACTTATTTACTTGGTTTTTTTCATCGCAATTCAAATGATAATATCATTGATGTTGACATTTTCATATCAAAATGGATTGCAATTGCTTCTTCATTTCACCTTGTTAAAGAGCAACACTCTGAAAGATTGTAAAATTGAGTTCATTTTGATCCATGACATTGTGCATGATGATTCAAGAGTGAATGAAAGAAAAGGTGAATTTTTGTGAAAAGGTATTAGATTGGAAATCAGGAGAATTTGAGTTTTTTTTCGTTTTTCCATTTGGTGAATAGGAAGAGAGAAGAAAGGAAAGGGAAAAGAAAGAAGAACATTTTGGTAACTTGTTAATATTGGCGATGAAATTTGCAAAGAGAAATGTTTGTAGGCGAAATGCGCAAAGTAACGAAAGGTAAATGATTTTACAACGTGCAATGTTGACTCTTTACCAGCTCTTTTTTTGCTCATGGAAATGTAGAGTTGAAAGGAAATTGTGATTGCAATCAATGGAAATATTTAAATTATGAAAGGAAGAGGGAAAAGTTGGTTCTGCGCTTTTCAATTGAGTCTCAATTGGTGTTAACTTGAATAATCTCATTGCATGAGTTTGTTTTTGCTTCTCTCGTTCAACTGTCAATTCAATTTATTGAAACAATTTACTCACTTTGAATCTATTAATTAAATATTTAACTATTTTCTCATGCATTCCAATATTTCTATTTCATTTTTTTCCCTGTTATTTCAATTATTTACTTTCATTGTACTGAATTTGCACAAACTGTTCATCATTTTTGATATCATTCAGTTCTAAATGTAATTTGAATGTTGGTAACAAAATATCAATTGTAAAAGCATTTGGAATGAAAAGATCTTTTGCAAGAAAGTTGAAAGTTGAGGGTTGATGAAATATTCATACAATTTACTTCATTATTCAGTCATGTTTCAGATAATCTGTCAATGAGCTGAAATGGAAGGCAAAATTTATCATTTATTCAACATCTACTTTGAATTTTGGCAAAGAGTTTTCAATCACTAGATTGTCCATTTCCTCGAGTTTACAAGCTTAAAGTGGTTAAATTCAATAATCTTGGTTTCTAGTGTTGTGTTGGTATATTTATAGGGATTAAATTGACTTGATTCATCGAATCAATCGCCGTCACAAACAGCAATTTTTCAAGATCTGATAAATCCTTTTTATCAGAGATGAAATCTTTTTCAAAGTTGAACCAAGCACAATGGATTCGCCTATTTGTCAAGAGCACTGATATGATAAAAAATAAGCAAAAATGATTTAAAGCTAACAGCCAGTTGAGCCTCTAGAAATTAAAATTTTCATCCAATCCAATCTAAGTTCAACTAATCTTTTGAAACAATTCAACACAAAAATTGACAAGATCAGTTCCGAAAGAATAGGGTAAACTGGCTAGCAAGGAATTTGCTTGTTATGAGCATGATTGATGTAAATTTTATACTGGATTAATTACTCTAATCTATTTTCTGAAATAATGTTTTTTTTTCGAGGCAACGAAAAGAAACGTTAGAAATGCAAAGAATGTGAGAAAAGTTACACTGAAAACCATACGGAAGCGATAGCAACATTAAAACTGATAATGAAAGTCTGCTTTTCAAAGATTCGTCAAGGTGACAAGAGTTTGAAAAAAATGATACTTGTTGATAACAGAGCGATGCTGTACACTAAATTGTTGGTCAGCGTTTGCTGGTGTTCGAACGGAGGATTTCTGAAACTGCGCATAACTAACCATTAGAATATTTCAGGCTTAAAAATGTTAATTTTCTTCCCCGCAACCATGTATTCCTCATGAGTTGAAACGCCAAACGAATGAGATAAAATTAATAATTAGATTGCATCATTAAACTTTTTCGTTTCCATTGCTTGTTCTTAGAAACTCAAGATTCAGAAATGCTGGTATCTTGATCCTATCAAAATAGAATGAACTATCGATTTTACTTGGAAAGTTTCTAGACTCATTCAATAACTGACTGTAATTCGAGTGAATACAAAACCTCTAAATTGACATACTAATGAACACCATGATTCTCAATTGAAATTTGCCATCATTATAATTGAAGTTATTGAAACTTACCGAGACACTTGTTGCAGCATAAGACATCCTACGGTTATCTCCATGAGTTAATGCGATTTGTGTCCACCTTTTTTTGAACTGCGCTATAACCTATTGAATAAAGAATATTTGAAAATGTAAAATTTGTTGTCCAATTAGGGTTTTTTTGGGAGAAAAAAAGAATCCAAAAATCAATTTTCCTTGTTCGTGGTAAATAAAATGAAACTGAACAAAAGAACAAACTAAATAATAAAAAAAATACAAAACACAACAAAAGCAAAAAGATCGAGCAAAAAGTTTCCAAAGTATTTCATTGATAATTTTCAGGTGCAAATTTGATTCGAAATGCTTATTAAACTTTTCACAGTTGAAGGTTTACATTGAAATAGCTTTTAATGTTGTCAAACGTAAATTAAAGCTTGCAAGACAATTCAAGTAACTCATCTAAATCAATTTAAATTGCGTGTAAAGCAAAAAGTGAATCCTTCAAGTGATAATTTCAGGTAAATGATTTGGAACTCAAATTATATGGAAACGCATTTACTGACTTTTTCAACATTAATTTTTTCTTTTTCGTCTTTTCATTGAACCACTTTTCATGTAAAAAACTTTTTCTTCTAAAAATGTTTCATGTTGAAAAGCTGTTATGATTAATTGGAATTTTTTATTCTCGAAATTGGCATTTTCCAGAATCTTTAACTGGCTTTAACCATTAGATAATATTCAGTTATTAATGAATCAGAAAAAAGAAACATTCAGAAAATTTGAACTTTTATCATTTCGAAAATGTTTTCAACTTGAATTGAGAAAACTCGAATTTCCCAGATTGAAAGATTCGATTGAAAAGTCGAGTTCGATTCAGATTACTATTGATATGAAAGGCAATCGAGCAGAAAATTTGATTCTTTTGATTCTAATAAAGATTAAAGATTGAGAGAATGAATTGAACTTTTCTTCTAATCACAGTTTTCGTTTGATAACTCAATGGCTTTGTTCTTGACCTGAGTTTGGATTAATGAAACTGAGTTGATCTAATTGTTTGTTCACATCAAGATTAGGCAAATTAATCAACTTAATGGCCATTCTCAATCAATTAGTAATGTTGAATCTGTTTGGACTGCTAAATGAACTTCTCATGCTTCAGTCATGAGAATAACTTTATATTCAGAAAGGGAACATTTATCCAAAAACATTGACTATCCAATGAACTTGTAATGTAAATGATTTAACCTTTGGAACAAGATTATCAGGAGAAAATGATTAAACAAGGTTGAAATTGATTTTCTCTTTCAAATTGTATTCTAAAACTGATGCAAATATTGTTGAGCAAATGATGAAGAAAAATGTGAATTTGATTGAATTTCTTTTCTGCTTTTTTCCAGCCTTCAATCCTTTTGTTCATTGATGATGGTTGAATTAAATTGAGAGAGAGAGAAAGAAATGATTGAAAGATTGATCATGATAATGGATAAGCTGAAGAGAAAGACGAACATCGAAAAATGCTGATGATTCTTAGCGAATATCATGTTCTTCTTCCTAAAGAAATTTATTTCAATCTTTTTTCATTTTCCATTTCGATAAACTTTCTTCTCTTTTCCTGTTGTCATCTTCATCTTTCAACCATTACTCGACCTTCCTTCAACATTATCATCAAATAAACTTGAAATTTTCAACATTTCTATTTTCTCTTCTCTACCATTCGATTTTGTTTCTTCACTTTAAATGAAACGCAAAACTCAATTTATTAGATTGTATTTAATCCATTTTACTTTCACTCAATTTCATTCTATTCCAATTCATCACTATTCCAAATAACGTTGAATCCATGGCAATGGCTTAACCAAGGAATGATTAACTTTCACTTGAATTGGCAACTAAAAGTTGTTTAAATTGAGATTCATTAAGAAATGGCAGTGAAAATTGAAATGAACAAAGTTCTGGTTTTCAATTGAATTAACCCGCTAGAATCATTAATTTTAATCAATCAAAATATAAAAACAACATTTAAAATGATTAAACAAATTGCAACAAATTAATTGATTAATGAATGTTTAGTTGAACTGATCTGAGCTTCATTAACAGCTAAACTGTTTTCATTTGCACATAAATGGAAAAAGGATTAAGAAGAGAAAAAAGTAAAATTTCAAATTCTGTTGAATAAATGAATGAAAAATCATGAAAGAATGGTTCAACTGGGAATTGATTAAGAAATTGTAACCAAAATTAAACTGAAAAAATTGAATCTTCAATCTCGAAGCTTGACTATTAAATTTGAAAATTAGTCAATTTTGTTTGCAAAACTTCGAACTTTTCAATCTGGTAAATGTCAAGAATGTCAATTTCAACCTCAAAAGGTTATTGAAATTGTCTGACTTCTCAATTATAAAATCAAACAACATCATTAAAACCAGATTGAATTTTGTAACTCAATACTGAATAACTTTTTATTGGAATTGACAATTTTCTTTCCATCCAATTTGATAGTCAGATTATTAAGATCAAATAACATCTTTGACCAACTGAAAAGTTCTGTTCCTTTTACATCTTCATTATTTCATCATTTTCGTAACTTTTTTTTCATTTTCAAAACTTGCCGATAAAGGCATCCAATCAACTCTTCAGAATTTTCCTGATAAAATTTAGTTCCAAAAATTTTCAGTTCTCTTGTCAGATAATGTGCGTTCGGTGCGTTCGGATGCAGCAATTAGAAAAGAATTTTAATCCGTAAAATATCTCGATTCATCAACATCATGAAGTGATAAATTAGAACAACTTAGAAGTTCAAAAACTTTTTTTTTCAAAATTCATGATAACTTCTGAGATTGTCTGATTGGAAGCTTCAATCAAGAGCGAAATTCTCTTTTTTTCAATTTTTTCAACTTTACTTTTTCGAAAATCTGTGATTTCGAATGTTTGAATCACGAACTTTTTCAGATTCTGGATCAACTTTGTGTTTGCTTTAATGATAAAATACGTGACATTTAGCATCGACTGTTTGTATTGGAATATAAATATTTTAATATTCCTGGACGTGTCGCTATTTTAGAGCTAATATTTGATCTTTTCATGTCGATCGACATTCACTCATTGTTCAGTAACCTTACATTTCCTTGACTGGGTGCATGTCAACTGATGTTGATTCAATCTGTCCTTGGAATCTGTGAGTTTAAAAGTTTATCTGACTATTTGTAAACTAGAGTTAAGTACAAATGAATGTTTACAAAATGAGAAAATATGTTGCAAATAGAAATGAAAAATTTAAATGAACATGAACATGATATCAACATGATTGTTTACACTAATCAATAGTTACGCTGATTCATTTCATAAGGGAAAAAAATGTAAAGATTTGAAGAGAAAAGAGAGAAAAAAAAGAAAAGGTTAAATCATTATTTACATACATTGTAGATCAAATTACAACTGAATCCAAATGGAATCTTGGATTTGAAAATAAAAGGGGAAAATATATCAAGATGATGATCTAATGTGGAAATGATGATAAAGGGTTTGAAGGTCAACAAATATTTACATTCAAATCAAACATTTCAAGGTAACCCTGGATGATGTGAATTACAGGTTAACTATCTGATGATTCCCTTTGGGTTCATTTTCAGGATAATTTCAATTATCCTGATATTATCATCTCAATTTATTCTTCATTACAAGTTGAGGGCAAGCGCATGGATAAAAAGACAAAAGTGTCTGAAATCATTGAATGCAAAAGGTTCAGATAAATGCAATAAAAGGCTGAATCTGACGAGGCAACAAAAAGACTGAAAAAAAGCAAATGAAGCAAAAAGTGTTCTTAATATAAAGTTTCATTAAACAACATGCAGCATCACTGGAATCACTCAATCCCTGAATCGAAACCAGAATCGCTGTAAAAAGTAAATTCCGCAAGACGAAGAAAAAGTCAAAACGAAATTGAAAGTTTTTCAAATGATCTATTCAGTTCGTTATACTTGAAGAAACAGAATTTCATCGTTTCCATGAAACTTCGAAACTTGTATTCGAGTCAATCCGATTAGGGAAAAGAGTGAACTCGAGAATTGGTTTTGATTTTGGATTGAACCTGAAAAGAGTTCATTCCAAGTGCAACTTTTCGACTTTGAGTTAATTTTAGTAATAATCGAAACTTTTTATCACGAATATGATTCTTTTGCTTGAAATTGATTAACCTTGATTAATCTCTCTAATGAACCTTACTCTTTACTGAGCCAAAACTGGCGATTAAATGGTTTAGAAGAGTTAAGTTTCAAATTACAGTGTTGAATGGAAACATGATTCTGACATTTTTATCTTCACCTCAAACAATGAATTGAAATGGTTAACATTAATTGAAAACAAATTGCATTCACTGACATGAGTAAAAATAGATAATAAATGAAACAGTTAAAGGTGTGGTTTACTGAGAATATTAGTTATGTCAATTTCAAGTGTAATTGCATTTGTTGCTCATGAAGGGCGAACAAGAGAACAAGAGAAAAAGGGCGAAATTCTTTAATCATGGAGATGTTTACTTCTATTCATGTCAATCTTCATCCAATTTGACACTTTTCCGGTAAAGAAATGAAGACATGGAAAACATGATAAAAACAGAAGAAAAAAAATTTCTCTACTTATTACCTTGTTAAGGTGAATGGAAGTAACATTGATGTGAACAGGGAAAATTGATTCAAAAACATGAATAACCTTGGAGATGAGTTACATGATAAAAAAGGAAAAAAGGGAAAAGAATATTTTTCTCTATCGATTTGTCTGGTTGAACGACAAGAGCTAAAATCAACAGAAAAATTGTTTACAACGAATGGTCAACTTTGAGCTTCTTTGATTCACCTTTTATGGTCACATGAAAACCAAAGAAACTGAGTAATCAATTCGAAGCCAAGCCTATTCATTGTGAGTATAATCGATCAGAAAGTGATAACTCGAAAAAATGGAAAAGAAAATTATCAATGACAATGTTTCAACTTGAAATTGGATCCGAAGCTTCGAAGCAATTACATGAAAGTTGAGCGGCCAAAAAGTTCTAAATCAATTTACGAAACAGTTTCATTGAAAAGTCGAGATTAATTGATTTTTCCAAATTTGATTTGTAATCACAAGAACAAGAAAAATACTTCAACTTTGATTGAATCGACACTTGAAAATCGAAAATTTGGAAATCTTTTTTTGTTCGAATCGCAAAAAAACTTGAGAATTTTCGTTTCAATGAATCGATGAAACTTGCAATGATAATAAGGTTTCTCTTGTTTCTTTACTTCTTCTTGAAACTATCTTTATCTCTGATAATCTTGTTACACTTTTTTGAACATTTTACTTATCAAAGTTTCAAGCTTGTTACCTTGATCTCATCTTGATAAACAGCAACTCAACATAATCTGTATCAAATAATATCTCACTTACTCTATGTAAAGGTGATTAGTTTGACTTTGAATTTACTTAGCATTTACTTTTTGTTTGCTTTTGTTTTCCTTTTTGTGTTCTTTTTCCTGATTCCTTATTTTTATTTCCAGCTTTCAATCTTTACTCATTCAATTGAAGCTTCCATGGAGAAGAGTAAAAAGTTCATCAAACATGACGCAAATCTTTTTTTTTCTCTCTCTCTTTCTTTCTTTCTTTTTCCATGTCATCATTGTTTGGTAAAACTTTTACCTGAACTGTCGTGTATCCAGATAACATGATAACATTGATGTAAAGTGGAACAGAGAGGAATGGAGAAGGAAAAAGGTTTAAGATGAAAAGCTTAGCTCAAATGTAGTTGTGAGTGAATTAACCAGAATTAATGATAGAACTCGAAGAATACCTTTGTTTTTCAGTTTATTTACAAAAGGAAAGATCAATAGTTGAAGTGAGAGACAAAAAGAAGAGAATAACTTTCGATAAAAGTAGATTGAAATGAATCATGTAAACATGTGATGTTGCCTGGTGAAACAGAACTTTTACTTTTCACAGTTTTCTCGATTGTTCAACTAACGTAAATTGATGGCCAATCAATTCTAGTTTCGATTGGAACGTTAACTGGATGAAAGAGTAAAAATTGATATTGACATGAAATACCTGATTTGTTATACAAAACTACAGAGAAGCTAAAAAATATAGTTTTAGTTCGAACCAATCCACAACTAAGAACGTTATCGAATATCGAGAATTTAGACTGGTCTAGCATCTGACTTTTCACTAATGCTCTAACATATGAAAATCATTGAATGGAAGAAGAAAATTGTTGTTTGATTTTAGCTTCAAGTAATTATTGCAATTGATCGAGACGATTTTTAGTCATTCGAGTGGGCTCCAAGAACTCGTATCTCTGATCGTGATTTCAACTTGAATGAATACACTTGCACTTGTTAGACATTGATTAGAATTGAAATCAAACAATGAGATTTTAACTATTTAATTACTTTAATTCAACTCATCAAAATGATTCTTTTCTTGGTTACCTTACATTTGAAAAGTTTTCAACCTTAAATCTTGTGAGCCATGAACTCGACAGACTCACAATGATAACCTTCAAGTGGTTAAATATTGGTTAAGAGCACTCATTTCAGATTATCGTTACTTTCATTTTCAAGAGAAACTGATGATCTTAAATAACTTTGTTGTTCATAAAAGGCAATTCATTCAATGAGTTGAAACGATTTTATCCTAATAAACTTTTTATGCTCCTTAAACAACAACACAAGGCGAGTGCTTATAACCATTTAGCTAATAATCTAAAGCCCAGCATTTCAAAGCAAACTTTCACTGAATTAGAACAAATCTCAACTGCAAAAAAGTGAAACTTTTATTGAGTTTTTTTAGAGAAACTTTTTTATTTACAGTTTCGTAATAAAACAAAATGATGAACAAAAAGGCAACTCGAAATTCAGTACTTTTCTAGAATCAAGTCAATTGCTGACAACATTATAATTTGAAATCAATAATACGACTCTACTCATCGGCCTTTGAAATTCAAGATCTTTTTTGTCGAAATTTTTCTATTACTTAACCGCAAAAACAAGAAAAGGGTTATTTTTGAAACTTGACCTTTTGACTATTCTCTACATTTCCGATAAAAGCTATTAATGGTTATCATCTGAAAATTGCTTAGAAGTTTCATCAACAGAATTTTTCAGAAAAAACTTTATTCCGCATCGAATTACTGTTTTTGTTAAAAGTGTTTTGATATTTATGATTTATGTCCGAATTTTCATTCGTCTGATAGTCATGATCGCATCTAATGCTGCATTTACTAAGCATAAGTTTCTTTGAGTTGGAAATTGTCATTCGAAGTTTAACAACTTATGGAACTTTTTTAATAAAAGTTTTCCAATGCTTATCACTCTTGTGAATCAGCAAATAAATGATGGCAAGTATCGAACTGAAAAATCCATGACAAACAATGGAATACGAGTTTTTACAATAAAAACATTTTTGAATGAAAATGAATAGATTTTGTTCACTCTTGTCTGTCAGTTGATACAAAAGTGAATAATCTTGAATAAAGTGTATTTCAATGTTGAACTTTTGGCTCAATGTTGGATCAACGAACATGAAGAGAAAAGTACAAGGAGAAAATACAAAGATCATGTTAGAAGAAAAAATTATGGAAAATTGAGGTTAGAAGTAAACAAATGTTTAAAAGAAACATGAAAGCCTCGAGAATAAATAGCCTGAAGGTGATGAAATAGCATTTCAAGTTTAAGCCTTTTTTTCATTTGTTAACACAAGAGTGACAATGATTTTCGAGTGACGTTTCATTATTCCTCAATCTGTTGTCATTCGCAAGACAAGTCAAACAACGAAAAGACTAAAACCTACAAATGCAATCGAACAAAAAGTTGCCCAAATTCAGTAGCAGAATTCATTGATGGAACATTTTTTCGAACAAGTTTTTGGAAACATTTTTTTCGCAAATCATAACACTCTCACCAATGGATTAGATTGATGAAGTAATGATGAAATAATGATGAAAAGTTTTGGTAAATTATGAGAGAAGAAAAGTTTTTTTTTCGAAAAGTTCGTCAATTAATCAAAGAATATTGTTGAACCATGAATCAGTGAAATGCAAACAAATGATAAAAATGAGGAAATTAAAAGTGAATCGATAATAAAAGTAGCACTCAAGACAAAATGAAAAAAACGAAAAGAAAAGTTGGGAAAAATGAGAACGAAAACTAACTGAAACCTAAATGGGCGAAAATATTGTACTTAAAGTGCTGACCTTTATTATTCGAGATGCTTTGGAATTACAACTTTCTCTCTTTGATTCAACAGGACAAAATTTTGTTCGTTTTGTATCACAATTTTCGATTAATAAAAATATACTCAAAAGACTGAAGAAGAATGAGATTTTTTTGTTCGGACGAATCGATCAACCTCTCAACACTTTCAACTCTTAACACGAGTCAAGGTTTAAACATTTTCTCACGTCTTCTTCATCTTCTAATCAAACAATTGTCGATCGAAGACGATTCGAGAATGGATCTTTGGATCTCATGAGCATTTGTTTGCTGATAAAGGAGCGTAGAGCATTCATTACCTCGCCATTGCAGAAACAGAACAATATTGCAACGCAAAGACCCTGTAAATAGAAGAGAAAAAAAGAGTTAAATCGATGTTGAAAATTGGAACAAGAAAAAGGGACAATTCTGTTTCAAGTCGAATTTCAATGTGTCGAGCATTTGGTCTGAAAATAATTCATTGAGAAAAATGTGGATCGATAAGTTTCACCTTTCTTCATTAAATGCTGGTCTTTTGGCGAAAATGAAATTTCGAAAAAATAAACAAATCGATTTATGGACATTGCAATATGGTGGCAATGATGATGTTGATAAAGAAAACGAATTAGTTGAACTGAAAATAATAATTGAAAGTAAAGTAAATTGTTATAAAATAGGAAAAGAAGAAAAAAATTTCATCTCAAATTCAATATATTGATCCATTTCTTTGGATTGTTGGATGAAATGGAACTTGTTTGTTGAGAAAAGCAAAAGAAGAAAAAGTTTTGTAAAAGCGCTTTTCTCTCTCTCTCTAAGTGTTCTTTGTATCATTTTTTCAACCATTTCATGTTATCAAGTTTTTCCACTAATTTTTCAACACTTTGATGTTATCTTTTTTTCATGGTTAAACTTGAAAGCTCATCTGAGTATGAATTTTTTGCTCTTGTTGGTTTATTGAGAGGAAAAAAACGGAAATATTATCTGTTCATCATGAAATTGTAATGCCAATGGATGGAGTAAATGATTCAAGAATTATGTTTATAACAAATGACGAACTTTTCCATTGAAATTTCAATATTGATTGAAACTCTTTTTTCCTTTTGTGTTCAATTATTGAAGAGACAAATTAATTGAATCATAAGTTTCATGGGAAATTCTGATGGAATTGTTTTTTTTTGGAAAAGAATGAAAAAAAGAGAGTCATTTACATGCAAAGATCATTAGAATAAATTAACTCTTCATTTAAGAATCAATCTTTTACATGGAAGTATTACATGATGAGGAAGAGGAAATTGTTATGAAAAATTTATGAAATTTAAATGAATGATTAACTTTATCGGCTATTTTTAACTCGCTAATTCAGCTTAAGCCTTTTGATGAACTTGAAAAGTAAATTAGTATTCACTGATGAACCTTGAACACTTTATCAACTTTTTTCATTCGCCAGTAAAAACATGGTCCAGTTTACACTGAATATTGATTAAACTTCATTAACAGGATTCTGGTAAATGAATCTAGAATGATAGATTTATAAGCATGCCTAATGATTTGCGATTATTCAGTGTTTTATCAACTTTAATCTGACATTGATGCTAATTGACAGTCGATATTAAATTCGAGATTTGTACATTTTTCTCTGTTTGCCTTGACATGTAATCAACAAAACTATCATTTCAGTCAAGTTCGATAAAATCGAAAATTGAATCAGAAAAATCGTAAACAGCTCAACTTGTTGCTCAGAAAATTAATGATCTTCATTAGCAAACGGAAACAAGAAAACAGTCATTACAGTTGATTATTGTTCTAATTAAGAATCTGAAAATCTTCTAATTTAGTTTGTTCGCTCGAAACTTGTTCTAGTTCTTAAAAGTCTTCAAGAATTTTTGTGTTATTTTTGTTGTTTATTTTTTTCGAAAAAAGTTGATGTGTTATTTGGGCGACAAATTGGATGAAAATGTGGTTAAAGTTGATTCAATTCAGTTTCTTTTCGAAGCCAATCTCGAGATTTTGGTCACAAATTTCCTAAAATCTGACAAATTGTGTTAAAATGAATCCAAAAAAGATTTGGAGTGAATCGCATTACTGATTCACCGAGGTTCCTATAAATCTGATTCAATTGATTGATCCATTTCATTGCGACTATTTATGTAACTCTGACTTGTTGAACATTGATCGTGAAATGAACTCTCTTCTATAGTTATTTCCAATCATTTGCATTGCTATTTTCATTACTAGAAGCCAATTAGTCGGCAAATATCTCATTTAGATATAAATATAATTCAATTGTTTCGACTTTGCTTCTTTATTTGAATTGCGTGATGAACCTCAATTGTCCGAAAACAATGATAATGCTAAGCAAATATTTCTATTAGCAATTAATTTACAAGATTATGTTGCTATTGCGTGAGGCTTGATCATTAAGAGTTACTGGTCAAGAATCGCAAGAGCTTTTCCTTCACAATTCAATGATATTTACAGGTTGACCAGATTTCCCAAAGCCAATATAAAGATGTTAATGTAAACTTGACCATTGGAATCATTGTATGGATTGAATGTTTACAACTGTCGATGCCTTTGGATCGATAAAATCAATCATTTAAGATGAAGACTAAAGGTTGAAAGGTAAGCATTTAAACTCATCTTTTCCGAAACACAGGCGAATCTCCATGGAATTTCCAAAAATACATTTGAATAACAGATTTCGATATTCCATTATTATAATGATACATTCAATAAATGTCAATTCAAATCTTTTCAGTTCAAAATCAAAGTCGAAATTTAAAAGTGAAACTTAAACTCAAAGTAAAGAAATTATTTAATTGGAAAAAAATCAAGATTAGAAGTTGAATGAAAAGGTAAAAAAACTGAGAATAGGAATTTCTTTGGAAAATAAACTTCTATTTAAATTTGATTTCAATTTCAATATTCAACAATCAATCAGATTGGATTCATTCTTGATTGAGATTCTTGATGTTCTTGTTTTGTCATTTCATTTCAACAATATGACACAAAAAGGTTCGACTAAAGCCTTGACAGAAGTTTATTGAGGTAAAATTTTATTTCATGACAAAACTTGAATCTGAAAAAGAATGCGAAACAATAAAATTCTCATAGTAATATGAGTTTGATGATGGAATAAGTTACATAGAATCAAACTATTCAACATGATAATCTTTTCTTGCAGAGAAAAAAGAAAAAGTCAAAATTTCGAGTAAAAATATCATTTCCAGTTGAATTTAAAGGCAAACATGAAAAGAAAAGGAAAAGAACGAAAGGAAAAAACAAAAACATTGACTTTATAAAAATAGTTGATGATACGGATGAAGAATTTGGAATGAAGAAAAGAGCAAAAATTGAGATTCTGGAACAATTTGCATACTGTGAATGGAGAATGAACGGAAAACGAAATGTCTCCAAAAACCATTTACAAATGGATAACAATTGTTCGATGACAGACGGATGATGGAATGAGGGTCAATCTCATGATTGACCTTATCATGTTGAGAAAGGAAAAGGTAAACTAACATTAATAACACTGAAAGGAAATAACCTGGAAAAGTGAAAACTCGAGGGAATTGATATCAATACTTAAAACATTTACTTTGATTTATTCGAGTTTTGACCAAATGCTGACAGAAATAATCATGTTCACTTCCGATTAATTGGCATTGGAACATTAAACTAAACTTTGGACATTTTCATTTATTCTTTTAACCATTTCTTCCCAAGGAATAAATATTTTCATATCTTTCATGGAAATGTTTACAAATGAAAATGTTTGATTAATTCAAAAGCATTTTGCTTGAAATGTTAATAAAAATGATAAAAGTGAAAAGCAAAATGTCACTGAATTGTCATTATTTTATTTCTTGTTTTGCCTTTTTTTATTGTTTCTTCAGCTAAATTGCTATTCATTATTAACAAAACATTATTTATCTTGTAAACAATCTCATAAATTATTGTTCAATTCTGATTATGATGAATCTGAATTTTCTTTCTTCTTCTTCTTGCTCGTTTAACGGCTCTTTTCAACATTTTGCTGTCCACTTTATTTTCTTGGTCAAATGAGCATTATCATTGATTCATCAATGAACTTATTGATTTTTATCAAACTTCTATTATTCACCTTGGCTAATGATTTATCATTACCATTGTTGGTGAATTGTTGAATGCGTTAGAAGAGGAAGAGAATAGGCTAAATGGAACAATTGCCTTTCAAAGGAAAATTGTGAGGCAACAAATTTTTCATTCCATTGAACTGGACAACTGCACGAGCTAATTGGCAGACTTTTGTCAGATGGAACACTGGATAAACTCATAAAGTACAATCATTATATTGACCAAGAATTAGTGGCTTTTAGTCTTCAAGGTTTCGATAAAAGATGAGCTTAATGGCAATGACAGTTTATTGCGATAACTTTATTAACCCATTATCCAAGTTTACCTAAATTTAGATTTTCTTTGCTTAGCATTTTTGTAGACTTGCAAGTTTCCAGTTTCAAACTGAGTTCAAACTTTTCATCCTCAAAAGCTTGAAACAATCGATCAAAATATTGTTATTTTTTCTGACGGAAAAGTTGATTTTATTCAACTTGTTTGGAGTTGAATGGTTTAACCTTTTATCGAGTTGGAATTTTTGATGAGTTTATGTTTAAATTGGTTTAATCGCAACTGTTTGCTACTTTTGCGATTCATCTGTTATTTCAAGTTTATCTCCACAATGAATTAGGATTTTCGTTTTTCTCTTGGAAATTATCCAGACCATTGAATGTTTACCAATAAAAACAGAATTGCAAGTTTAGTTGGAAGGGAAAATATGATGAGCTTACCTGAAGTGAAGCAACCAAGGCAGCAACAATCTCATAAACCTCCTCAGCATGAGTTCCCTCAGGAGGTCGAAATGGTGTAACCAAGAAGTGCAACCCTAACAAGGGAAGTAAGATGAGAGTTGCTTTAACCGCTTTCCTGTGAGTTTTGGGTGAAGGAAAAGGGAATCAAGAAAAGGGTGAAAAGATGTTAATGGATAATATTGAGTTGATCACAATTGATTTCATGTTTACTTTGAAATTGGATTAAAATTTATTCTCTTTTTGTTCACTTTTCTTTCTTTGTTTTTTTTCCTCTTCTCATTCCAACAGCAGAAGTTGTTGGATAGGAAATTGAGGTCAACAGGAAGAGCGAAGACAAACAAATGAAAGATTATGCAAAGTTTAATCTGAATCTTGAACAAGGACGAATAGTTATTTTGAACAAGATTAAGGTTGAATCAAATTTAGTAAATGTTAATCCATTGAAAACAAAATCATGCAACTATTGGTTAAGTCATCAGATCAAATCTTGTTCTTAATCCATTTGCATGTTCAATCACATGTGTACATGGAACGAGAAAACATTACCAGTAAACAAGGAACAAAAACAAAGTATAAATCAATGAATTTCGAGCATCAAAAATGAACAATTTTGTAACCCAAATGTGCATCAGTTTACAACAGAAACACTAACAACTTCAGTAATCATGTAACAAAGTTGATTGATTCCCAGTGTTTTGCATTTGGATAGCTTTGTATAATCACAAATCAGCTTTAATAATGCAATTGATAACAACATGATTAATAATAAAATGATTCAATTCCACAGAGAATTTACTTCACCATAACATGGAATTTGTGTTCTATTAGATAAAAGAAACTTTTCAATCAGAATTACATGAAAAAAAAATGACGGAAAATCAAAGATAAACTTCGATACAATTTCAAGAGGGAACCTTGAATTCGATTTCCATTTTGATTGCATTTACATTTGTCTTTAGCTAAGCCCCAGACATACGTCGTTCCGCCACTTTCATATTGCTTCCACTCGTTAGAGTTATAACACAGTTTCGATTTTTTCTGCTAAACTAATGACAGATTGTTGTATACCTACAAGACTGAAATGCTGGGATTTCGTTGTCTCGTGTTAATGTTGAAACAACTGAAATGGGCGTTGAAAGTTTGTCTCCTTTTTCGGTTTCTTTGCACAGATAAGTTTAATAGTTGCTATTCCAGTCGTGCACAAGTACAGAGCTTGAGAGCCCAAGTGACAACCTGACTTAACAAGATGAGTCTAAGGGCATCACCACTCGACTACTGGCTTAGCTTGTTTCCTCAGGCCTTCTGACTCAACAGCTAACAATCTTAGGCTGAGCCATTGAAATGCTTTCTTCTGTAAGAAGTCAACACACTCACCTCAGCCTAAGCTTAAAGCCTCGGTTTATATCCTCGATCTCGTTACACATTCGATGAGTTTATTGTGGTTCTTTTACGAGCTCTAATCCTAATGAATCGATACTTTGTAAAGTTTCAACTTTTCAAACTTGAAAATTGTTTGTTTCTGAGAATCGGAAAATGTTATTGATTCAGGTTTCAAATTGGAGAAGAAAATGTTTGGAAAAATGCTCAGAATCTGCATTTCGTTAGCAATAATAGTTAATTTCTAGGCAACAGCAATTAACGATTTTTATGCTTTTCAACTTTGACCTTTTTTTCCTATTAACTACACAAATTAATATTTTCTGACACTCGAAGCTGTTATTGAACTAAACTCAATTTTGCTGAAACTGTTTAATCTGGTTAATCATTTCTTCACCATTAACTGTCTCAACAACAACTCCATTGTAATGCCAATTAATGATGTTGATCATTTAATATTTGAAACATTACTCCAGAATTAATGGTTAACAGGTAAACACAATCGAGCGTATATCAACTTGCACCAATCAAATGTACAACATTTACAACTTTCATTAAAGCACAACTTTTCTCATCTCATTGCATCATCTCAATATATTATTAATATTATCGATGGCAATAAGAATGAAAGGGAGAAGAAGAAGAAAAAAATGAATAAAGTGTTTCAAGTCATTGATGGCGAAAACACTTATTTAGTTTCGAGTTTTTCCTCTTCTCTTTTTCTCTCTCTTCATGTTACATCTTTATTTTACCAAAAACCATTGACATGATTTACACTATCAATAACTCGGATACAAGAGAGCGAATATCACTTATCAAACATCTTTACATGACCATGAAACTGAATTGTGTAACCATAGAAATTGCTTGTTTATAAAAATTTTCATTTTCGTGACCGATACTTGATTCATTATTAATTCCTTGATATTGCAATAAAAGAAATGCTCAACGGACCAGAATTTTTGAGAATCAAAATGTGAATTCGACTCTTTCAATATCAACCTATTTTTAGATTCCAAATTCATGCACAATTCGAATGCATAGTGAAAATGAAAAAAAAGATAAACTTTTGTTTCTCATTAGGCACTAATTAACTGTGAGAAAAAAATGAACATCAAAACACCTTTCAGAGTAATTCCAAGTTCCGGTAACTTTCAATGGAATTTCAAACTTCTTTTCCAAATCAAAGGTGAATTATGTTTAGCTAATTGTTTAATGGCACTTAACCACAATTAGGATAAAGGTATTAAATGATTAACGAAATGTGTGAATTTAATCACTAATGAAAAGGCTATTTTTTCGAACTTAGAGAAGAGAAAATGTCGAAAATTATCAATTCTTTGAGAAATCAATTGTTCTGCTTCTTATCAAATTGAAGAGCAAATTGATAACATTTTAGTGAACAGGGAAACACCAAAGGGTAAGAAGATTGGTGAACAATTATGAGAAGCGCTGAAGGGTAAAGTTGCCTGAAAATTCTTGTCTATTCCATTATTGCTATTATCATTATTATTATGGTTATTATTGAGTGAGATGAGAGAAGAAAAAAAGGAAAAGAGAAAAAAGGAAAATGCGAAGAAAAGTGAAAATAAAGATGCTGTTAAAAGGGAGTGATGATGATTAGATGGTGATAAATGGTGAGATAAAAGTAAAAATAGAAATGAGATTAAAGACCTGAGGAAAGGCGAAGCCAAGAGAATGGCTATTTTTATTAACAATTGAATCAATACTGGCAATTGTAAGTTTGCTTCACCAAGATTCTAAGTCTTCGGTAAATAGTTTGATATTCAATGTTTCAATAAGCAAGTTATCAGAAAAGCGATGCAAAACCAATTGTAATATTATCTTTATTGTAATCAGTAGCATTATTATTTATGTGAATAAAAGCTTATTGAAACAGCTTCCTTCATTCCTCAACATTTTCCTCAGCCAACTTTTCCTTGGACTTTTTGACCTCAATCTTGGTTTTGCATTTGAATTAATTTTTCATCTTTTGCCTCTACTTTCCATGCAAATGCAACCTTTAAACTTTTGAACCAGTAAATGATGAGATTATGGCGAAATGTTGGAAAATTCAATTTTCGTTGATTATCATTTTCGCCTTTCTCTTTAGCAATAGTCAATTCTCTGTGGTTTCATCTGATATCATTTTTAAACTATTTTTCCTTCTCAGCATTTTCGATGAAATGAAGGCAAAAGAATACACTTCAAGTTCGTTTTTATCATATTTTTTTCTCTTCTAAGCTGGGAGTGAATTCTGAATAGGTTAATGTGCATCAACATGTTGATTACATTTTACTCAATGTTACAATTTTTATTCGAAAATTACTTTTTTGTTCCTTTTTCCATTCTGAATCACTTTGACTAATTATCATTTCCGAGTTACTTTTGTCTCTTTCCTTTTTGCCTTAAATGCTTTTACTTTAACGCTCATCTTTACCAAGTTGTTCAGAAGTTGTAAAATAAATGATGACTGGGAGTGAAATGATAAAAGTAGGAAAAGATGAAAATTGTGTCAGCAATGAGTGACTTTGAAATGGGCGTTGGCAACATTTAAATGATGGAAAGGAAAAAAAAGAAACAGTTTCATTTAAATGTAACAATTTTCATGATAATGTTGACTTTGAATATGGAAAGAATGAAAAGTGAATAAAAGAGTGAAGGTTAAGCATCTTGATGTTTGATGCGCTAATTGGAAAGTAATGGGAAAAGTGGAAGGCAACATTTGTATCATTATTATTGTTATTACGGTGATTAAGGTTCATCATTTTGAAAGGTAAAACAATGAAAATTTGGCCGCAAAATGGGTCATAAAAAGAAGTTTAAAGTTGCTGACCAACCTTGTTTGATGGGCATCAGGAGAGTTGACTGCTCTCATCTTGGTTACCAACACTCGAACAATGTTTACAAGGAAAAATAAGTTGAGCTGAAAAAAAAGAACGAAGAGAAGGTGAAGAAGGAAAATGAATGAAAATTATGAGAGACAAAAGAGTAAGACAAAGGGATGAATATCATCAATTATCATTATAAGCCACTAACTTATTCCAAGCTTGACTGACCCTTGGGAGGAATATTGAGATAAGATTAGAAAAATTTTTTGCGCTCTAATATTGTGTTCGAGAATGAGAGTAAATAGAAGAGGAAAAAAAGGGCAACAAAAAGTGAAACAAGATTGCAAGAAGGAATGAAAAGAAAGTGAAATCACGCATCATTAAGTTTCCTGGGACTGATAAATTTACAGTGAATCTGGTTGAATGTTACATGATTATGGGCTGAAACCATCAAGAGGGTTAAAGAGAGTGAACTATTGTTGAATGCAAAATATAAATAAATGTTATTATTGAATGTTTTTCTTTACCACAAAAGATACAAGAACTGGTCCAGTGTACCACCATGAATATGCACTTTCGTCAATCCAGCAACTGGGAGTCAAGTTGGGAGTAAAGATAATGATATGAATAATAGTAATGATCATCATCACCATGTTGATGGGAATAATGATGAAAGGAAAGGAAACAAAGGGAAAGAATGATGAGAATGGTGCAATTGTGAAAATTTGCTTATTATTATTAATAATCATTTTCCATCTTTTTTTCTGCGTTCTTTTTATTTATAAAACATTCTGGCTCAGTGTGATTACTGTTAATTATTATCGTATCAGATGATGATAATCTAGTTCAGTTATGGGCAAATTGTTTCTCAAGTAAATAATGTTGCCAATGAAATATGAGACTAGCAATTTGGTTAGCAGATCATGTAATCAGTTGCAATGAATAGTTGAGATTAAATGTTGCAATTCGCATTCATTGGCTAACCAAATAAGTCTTAAGGCTCTTTCCATGTTGATTGCCTAGTGGAACTTTTTTTCGTTGGAAGGTTCAATCAAAATCGAACTTCGTTTTAGCATCGTTTTCTAATTAGTTTTTTTCTCTTTTTATCTAATTTTCGATTAAAAAATGGCCAAATTTCCTCGAGTTTCGCTTGCACATTTATATTGAAAGGTTGAGTTTTCGTTGAAAAGCAGAAAATTTTCTTTTCCAGATTTCGATGTCTTTTTTATAACTTTAGAAGAATGACTCTGAAATTTATTTCCAAAGTTTAGAAATATTTACACTCGAGGCTATAGAATTTTATCATGGTGTTGAAATTTCAGTCAATTCATCACAGTTCTCTAATGATTTTTAGTTTGACTTCTCTTTGAAAAACTTTTTATCTGATTTTCTCACCTATTCGAGTCGACCATTCTAATAAATTCTGTATCGCGATTTCGCTTTCAATCAATAAGCACAAAAATCCACTAGAGTTTTCGCTAAGTTGCATGAATTTCTTTCTTGAATTTCTTTACATTCCACTAGTTCCGCTAGATCACAGTTTCAGTGTTCAATTAACATGGAAAGGCCAAAGATTCATGTTGTTATCTAAAAGGTTTGGAAACTTACTAATTAGTCTTGCCATTTGAAGATAAGCCACGAAATCCAGCATAAAAGCCAATAAATATCAACGGGATTCCCCAGCCAATAACATAAAACCATTTCATGATCTTTTCTTCCGCCACAAAGGCCACAACTAGAAGAGTATGAAGATACAATCCTTCACAGAATGTCCATGAATAATTGGCTAGTAAAAAATAATTGACCACAACATGGAGCATCTGACAGTACCACTGAAAGAAAACAATAGAAAAACGAAAATTAGTCACAAAAATCGTGAAAATTCTTAAATTCATCGAAAAGAAAATGTCACAAAATTTAATTTCCCACAATTCCATTCTTCGCACATTTCCAATGATAAAATCAGTCAACTATTAATATTAATATTGCTATTATTACATTTGCTATTCACATGAAAGATCACATATTTCATTCCTTCCCTGAATGAGATTAGATAAATTGAAAGAGACTAAATTGGAAGCAGAGAATTCGAATAAATGATTCATTCCATTCAAATTATCTGTTCTAGTTAATTATTGATTGACTTTGAGTTTTTCCTTCATAGATTAACTTTGACTATTTACTTTGCATAAAACTTTCTTTTCATGTTGCAACGAAAATCTCGACTGAATAAATTTTTCATTTACAAGCTTACAAAATGTTGACTTTTTTCTCGAGTTTACGCTTTTCTGTGCAACAAAAGTTCACTCTTTTGGTACAAAAAAAGGACAAAATGTTTTACCATGAATTTCAATTCAAATCCATTGGACTATGAAAATTATTCTCTACTCTAATTCGTTGTGACGAAAAGACAAAACTATCTAATTATCCGATTCTTGAGATTTGCTGTTTTCTTTTCTCATTCCCAGTCATCTTTTATTCCCTTATTATCACGACTTATCTTTTGATATTTAACTATTTCCACTTGAAGCTCCTTCTCTCCATCTCTCATCATGATCGTCATCCAAATGTTTTTACTTCATAATTCTCTTCGTTCATCTTTTACTTTCTTCCATGATCACACTCTGTGCATCTTCAACATTCACTCGAGAATCTAATAATGAATATCTTTTTCTATTTAGAAAATGAACCTTCTGTTTATCGTGAATAACAAACGATAATAATCATCCTTTCATCCATACTTCATTCCTTTATCTTCATAAATCTTTCATCCTTCAACTTGATTATGTTGATGATAAATTTTCATCTATTCAAACTGATAGACCATGAGAAGAACAGAAAAAGGCGAAACTCGGAAAATCGAGAAAACTTTTTTTTTCTTCTTCTTCATTAATCTTTATCTAAAAGTATTAGAATAAGCAAGAAAAGTAAAGAAAAAAAACGAAGAAAAAATTGAGCAAAATGTTGATTTAATGTAACAACTTAATGAAAGATGGTTTACTCATCAAGTCATTCAACTTTACGAAATTTAATGGCCACTCGAATCAACATTCCGTGACCATTTGGCGACATTTTATTGCCCTTCAATTGTGAGCAATAAATTTCAAATTCAGATTCCATTAAATCAGAAATTCTTTCATAGATTATCTAAATGCTTTCATTCGAGTCGAGACTCGTTTTTTTACGATCAACTTTATCATCAACTCAATGCAACTTGCAGACTATTTGACTTTAGAACTCGAAATTCAAGGTCAATGTTTCTCATTAAACAAATTGGTACAATTACATGGGAAATGACATTCAATAATTGCAAGTTTTTTTGCTATATTTAGAGATTCGAAAAAAGGAAAATTTTCCTTTTCCTAATTTTATGAATTCATCTTTTTCCAGAGATTGTTCTGTTGGGTTTCGCTTAATTGAATTGCTCACTTTTCATGGGTTTCTGTTATCATGAAAACCTCTTTAATCCTCTTTTCTCAAAGTATCAAGTTAAATGGGTTACCAAAATAGGCAATTGTAAAGAGCAACAAGTTTTACCATGAAAATGAGATTCGAGTTGGGAAACGTTTGGTAAGATCAAGGATTATCTTGTTGATACCTTTTAAAATGTGACAAAAGTTGATCATAAAGGAAATTATAAATTGAATCAAATTACAGGAGAAGGAAAAGATTTCTTTGGGTTTCTTTTTCAGGTCAACTTTTCTTATTTACTGATCCTGTAACGATGTAGCAACGAAAATCTCTTTTTTCTCTCTGTCGAGCCAATAACATGAAAAATGGGGCAATAAAAGTGCATTAGCTTGATCAGATTCGTTCCTATTTTGTCATTTAACTGAAACCGGAAAACAGAATCTGTAATAAGCTAAGTTAATGTACATGATAAATGAATCATTTAACCAACTTGTATTTGCAAAACTATTATTTATTCTGTACTCAGATTGGCCATCATCATGATTATGGTTGGAAAGGAAAGAGAGGAAAGAAAATGTCTACTGATAGTTTTATGATGAAAATCAATGAGCAAGAAAAATCAGCGAAAATGAAATGAAAAGAAGAGAAGAGAGAAAATTATTAATGGAAAATGTTGTAATTAATATTGAACTGGTTCGGTCAAGGAAAATTGTTGATTGTGAATGGAACTGAGGAAAAGTTATTAATCATTCAGTTATCGTGTTTAATTGACTGATGTTCAAGAGAATAGATTAATGAAAATTAGGAAAGCAATGAGCCAATATCGGTCAACGATATAGGAATGTATGACACGAATCATCTTCACACAGTCATCAACTACTAAGGTCAAATGTGACCCTGATTGGCTCGAAATGTTACACGCTGAGCTGGATCAGACGCTCAAAACTGAATATTTTAATATAACCTCCTATGAATTTAGCAGTCTCAGTGTACCATTTAACTGTCAGAGACTGGCCTGATGCTCTAGCTAGGGCAGGGTAGGGCGATGGGTGTACAGTCCAAAGTCATTATTTCTCGCGTTAAGTCGCAGAATTTTCTAAACATTGCAATTTTGTAAATTCATGTTTAATTCAACTCCAACCCGATGAGCTGTGGCTCAGAAGATTCCGTGATTTTCATATTTGTGTTAAAGATACCTCTAAAAATGGATGGAAAAATCTGGACTCAATTCAATTAATTCATCCTGTGTAAATAATTTTTAAAAATCATTCCCATTTTTTAACTTCGCACATTAAGGGCCATAGATGTAGTTTTTTATCGAGATTGACTCATATTTGCATAACATTAGTTCGAAGTCTCAAAAGCATGCAGCGTCATATGTGAGAAAGTTTAATCATCAGCAATATTTTCGATGTTCGTACCCTGCCATTGAAACCAATGTTAATTTCGATAAAATATCCATAAATATTATTTTTTTAATACGCCCTTCACTACAAAAGCATTTGCAAGTTTTATTGAAAATTAACCTTTATATTGACACATTGACATATTTTTGTATCTATTTGACAGTACTTATATTGACATTTAATTACTGTCTCAAAAATGTTGCTTTGTTAACTTCTTTTTGCAAAATTATTCTTCGAGTTCATTTTCAAAACACTCATCTTTTTGGTCACTCTTTCAAAATGAATGTAAATAAATTTTCGATATCGAATTCATTATTGACTTGAAGAATTATTCTAACTGTTTGCTGTACACACAAAGACGAACGTATTGCACGACCAGGGGAAAATGCATTACATAGAATTATGTAGCAAATTGAAAGTTAAAAGATAAACGATTAAATGGTCTTTGATATTGAGTTAATGTTCGCTGAATTTTGGCTTGAGAAGCACTTTCATAGAATTGAACAGTTTGAAAATCTTGATCAGATTAAAACGGATTAAAGTTTTAATTTACTTTTCTGGAAAATATTGCCAAATTAATATCCGATATTCTATTATTAAACTATTGTTTTTTATTGCCTTTTTTCCTCATAAAGTTTCGATTGGCTTGAAAAGTTGGCGACAAATTCAACTTTTTTAAATTTCTCAGTTGCCAAGTTTTTTCTTTCCTCTTCTCAGAACTGTTTTGAATGGCTTTATCAGACTTTATTAATATTTTTTAAGCTTTTTTTTATTAGCAAACTTTGAGTGAAGTTCAGTGTTAAATGAGTTATTGGGTGACATTTGAATGAATTGCCAAGGAGAAGATTGTCTTACTTTTATGATCTTGAACTTCAACTGATTAGTTTCCTACAAGAACAAGTTCAAGTATTTACATGATAAGTAATTAATTTGAGTAAAACAATTATGTAGATGAAAGTGATGAACAGTTATTGTAGCAGTCATTTGATCTTATCTTATTGGATAAGCTGAACAGCACTTGATTACATGATTGGTGCCACTTTTCCTCTTCTACTCGTGTCTCCAATCTACATTTGCAATTATAATACTTTGTTGCCTTTTCAATTCTTACCAACATTTTCACGTCACACTTACATTTTAATTGTTGCTTATTTCAAGCCAATGACGAATATCGATATTTTTTGATAAAATCTCTTCTCTGAGATTCCAATTTGCTTCGATCTGATCGCAAAATTCAAGGAAAATTAACTCAAAGTTACATTCAGAGACAGAAAATTCCAATACAATGCTCATTGATTTTATGGCTTTAGCTATATGGAACAGCAGTTGAAGGCAAAAGATTGCAACTCTGAATGGGTCAAAGTAGTTTTTGCCATCTGTTCTCAAAAATTGGTTTAAATTCTGAATTCAGTAATTCGACAACTGAAATTACCAAGAATCAAGGAAAAAATTTAAAGCGTTCTATTATAAAGTTGATGGCTAAGGATGAGAAGAATAAGAATGTCCATTTTATGCTATCTTATCCAATCAATGCTGTGCTTTGACTCGAGCTGGGAGTGACTCGTGTAGCATTTATAAAAAGAAAAACTCTTTTGGATAAACTTATTTTCGTCACTTTCATTTGTTAAAACTCGTTGAAAACGGTGTCGATAAGGTCTTCGAAATTGTTGAGTCTTTTTTCTAGAGAAAACTCTGAGATTCTAAAACTATTTTTAAAAAGTTACTTTCATAAGTTTTGTTAATAAATTTCATTTCATGACTAGATACAACTAATAGCTTATCGTTAACATCAGTTTGCAACATGTTAATGCACAAGTAAAGTAATCGACTTGAAAACAAGAATTTTGCGATTCGACAAAACTTTGTCCTAAAAAATGAACCATTCATTTTCATTTTTGCTTTACTTTGACAAATATCTTCTCTGGTTGATTGAGTTACTATTAATAAAACCATTAACTGGTGTTGTTATGGCAAGTAAAATTTGTGTTGAACCGCAAAAAAACATCAAAGTTAAATTGAGCTAAATTTTGCTTTCCATCGACACCCATTGAACAAGAGACTTTAATGAGTCCATTAAACACAAAGGCGTAAAATTGATTAAAGATGAAGGTAAATAAAACTAAATGGTCAAGAATAGCGGAAGTTGTAAAACGTAGAGCAAATAAGATTTATGCAGATAAGGGAATCTGGTAAAGGTAAGGTTTCGTCCATGAAACCATTATTCATGGAAAAGAATGAAATATAAGATTTCTCATTCCAAATAAGAAACAACTAAAGGTTGACAAAAAACGAACAAAAAGTGATTACTCTTTCTTCCGACAATCGTATTGATAAGTTGAACCCAAACCAATTTCCGTTTCCTATTCTGTTGCTTTTTCATCTTAAGTTCACCAAGAATTGTGAAGTCAGATAGTAAATCAGAATGCTGACTCAGGACAAGTCAAGAGTGAAAATGTAATCTCAAATGTTCTATCAAAGTGAACAATTACCAGAAAAGAAGAGAAAAAAATGAGAAAAAATTATCATGAAAAGCAGCATAATAATGAATGATTTACTGTCAATTCAAGTGGATCACATTTTAATTATTATTACTCTTTGAGGTTAAATTGAAACAAAAGTTGACATTTCATCTTCATATGATTAAGATGAATCATTTACAGATTCATCTCGCTCATGAAGAGAAAAATGGCAAAAAAAGGAGAAAAAAAAGTCTCACAATCTCGCCATCTTTCTCATCATGTTCACCATCAATCGACTCGACGTTACTCTTCAAACTGAACTTCTAATTATAACCATCATCAACTTTTCCTCTTTACCTTCGCAAGAACAAAAATTGCCTTCTATTTTCACCTCAATCTTTATCTTTCAAATTTTGGGTGAAAAAATGTTGAAATAGTTTTCCAACTTTTGAGTCGAGAAAAAAAAACTTTTCTCATCTTTTCCCAAAACTTTAGCTAAAAGCCAATAAACTCTTGAAACTCATCTTGATCCACTTATCAATATTTCCTTTGGTCTTTACAGAATGGTTTCAAGGAAAAATGATTGATCTAATGATAAACTTGATGAATAGTTGAATTGAACGGAAAGACAGTATTCGTAGGTGTTGTAAGCTACCTGTTAGATTCCTTAATATCGTTGGTAGAACATGATAAATGTTGAAAACATTTGAAAATTTTCTCATTTTCTTTTCTTGCCTTTCTTCCTCTTTACCTCAACCTCATCCTCATGATCCACTCATCAGCCGCAAACGTTGGAAGCAACCATTTTATTCACCATTTTATATCCTTCTATTGAAACATTTCACTCCCAGCTCAATTGCAATAACATCTCACTCTCGGAATTGAAGAGCTCAATGATTGATAATGTGACAAGATAAACTTACTAACAACATGAGAAGCCATTTGATTGATGATAAACAAGAAAAGGACCTTCAATTGGTTTGTATTTCACTTCACAGGTTAACTAAAACTAGACCGATTCCCATCACCATCAGTGGTTAATTTGTTATCATTTTGCGTCAACTTATTTACCTTTTTCTTTGACAAGTTGATTACAGCTGTCAAACATGTTCACAAGTAACAACATTTTTTTCTTGTTCATCTCGTTCCATTTATGATCATTAAATGCAACTTACCCTGTTTGATTGGACAACTTCAACATTTGAAACAACCAAAGTGTACCACATGATCCACATTAGATTGTTGATTATGAAAGAAATGAATAAATTTTTGTGAATTGTTATTCTTGTACACTTAAGCGATCTGTAAAAAGAGAGAGAGAAAAAGTTTCTCAGTTAAATTTGAAAAGTTTTGTTATAAGCGCTCAATCATGAAATGAATAAAAGACAATTTCATTAGTTGGATTGAATCACAGATGGAAAATGAGATTATCAATAAAAAAGAGTTTCATGGAATTGCAATGAATATCTTTTATCTAGATTTCTTTTCTCTTATTTACTCAGTTTCATTTCAGATTTGAAAAGTCATTGAACAAGATAGAGAACGCAAAACAAGCAACATTAATCTGATGAAGAATGAAATGATTCTCAGAGCAAAAGGTGAATTTTCTTCTTCTCTCCTGTTTCGGAAAAAACATCAATAGAAAACAATTTACAAGAAAAGAAAATTTCCATTTTCGTTTTACATGTTTTTTTTTCGATTTCGTTTCCCTCCACCTTTAGTTGTATTTTCACTTCGTTCAATTTTGTGATAAACAAAAGCAACTTTTTTCGTCTCATATTAATTCGTCTGAATAAACAAATGAAGTTATTAATGTTAATTTAAGATAATCATGAAAAGAAATGACAATTTTGCTTCTTTTCTCGCAAAATTTCAACTCATTATTAAACTCTATTCTTTATGAATTATCATGCAATTCTTTTCTTCTCCTTACTCTGTCATTATATTCACCTGATGAATTTAGATAAAGAAGAAAGTTTTTATTCCAATTTATTCAAGTAAATGATGATATTTTTAAGATCATAATTTGTGCTAATTTGAAAAATCTAATTTACCATGTGAGGTTGAGGAAGAAAAAAGTGTCAGAAAAAAAAGGTTATGAACAAAAGAAATGTAATCAGATTAGTTGACATTGGAATGAAAGGTTAAAGGTGATTTGTTGAAACAATCAAAACGGAAATATTATGGGAAATAATGAAGCTTAGAAGATGAAATATTTGAATGACAGGGAAAATCTGAATGCAAGGAGAAGAGAGAAAATCCATGATTGGAATGTTGATCTTCAAATCATGTCACGTTCATGTTAAGTAGGAACTATTAACGAATGATAGAGAATCTATTTGGTGATTATCATCATGATAATCAGTCTAATCCTCCTCCAACGAAGAAAAGTTTTCTATCAACTATTCTTTTTCTCAACACCTCAACTATTCATGATTAATTTTGAAAAAGGTCAGTCATCATGAGAGTAAAAGTGAAAAATAATCTGAATGTAAAGAGAAAAGAAAAATAAACAAATTTTATTGTAATTTATACCAAATGCTAACGAATTATGTAAATGGTTATCAATTTATATTTTCATCTTTTCTCGCCTTTTTTCAATTATTTATCATTTTTGCATGACAATCTCAACTTGAATAATTATTCTTGATGCAATTGAAGTTGAAGTCAAACTTACTTGAATGATAAGAATATGATTAAAGATATGATTAAAGCCAAAACTGAGATTGAGTATCCAATAATGTACAGATTATTTACTGCTTGACGAAACTTGAGATCATCTTTGTCAATGCAAGTTGTGTAGTTGCTCCAAGTTTTGTTTGTCACTGGATGGCGAAACCAGGTTCCATCTTCCAGGCAAATTTTAAAAGCAAACCGATCAGATCGAAATCCAAACACTGCCATTGGACAGGGTATGTAGGCCGTTTGACCGGGCGGTGTGTCATTCCAGCAACCCCAACCATCAAAGGTTCGTGGACAATATTTTAAACCTTGGAGATTGGGTTGAAATGTGGCTCAATTACTCATGTTACTTGCTGAGGTGATTATGTTTGTAAAAATAGATTCGAGGTTGGGTGACTTACTTGGATCACTGGGTGGATTTGAAAGAACTCCTTGTTTACACTTTTCATACTCTTTTATCAATGGATCGTCAATTGAAGTCAAATTTTCTGATGGCGATGCAAAGGATGACAGTGAGGATAATGATGAGGAAAGTGTTGTTGTTGCTGTTGCAAGTTGTGCTAGTGGTTGTGATGAGGATGATGGGGAAAAGGATGAGGTAAACGATGAGGAAAACATCACAAAATCGGTTTTGATTAACGAACAGGTTGTTAGTTGATAAAACTATTACTAGACGTTGTCTCAGTAACAAAGTGATTCAACTAACTTTGTGATGTTAAACATTGAGACAAAATCTGAGTGAGCAACTTGGCAACTGGAAAGCATTGGTACGCCATCATGTATTGCATATGACAACTAAAAGACTTATCATGATATCAATTTATATTCAAGTTGATATTTTTGAATGAAAGCTCTGTTCTAAGATTTCAAGACTTCACATTCTGATCTCAAAATTTAAGAAAAGTCATTTCAACAACTCAAAGTTACATTTAGAGACAGAAAATTCCAATACAATGCTCGTTGACTGCATGGCTTTAGCCATATGGAACAGCATTAAAGGCAAAATAATGTAATTCTAAATGGGTCAAAGTAGTTTTTAACCCTTTGACGGAGTTGAGAATGATCAAGAATAGAAGGCGAAGTTGTAAAACGTAAGCCAAATAAGATTAATACAGATGATAAGGGAATCTGGTAAAAGTAAGGTTTCTGCTAATGTTTCGTCTATGAAACCATTATTTATCGAAAAGAATGAATTACAAGAAAGATTTCTGCTTGCGAACAATCCTTTAAAAGGCCGATGAGTTACCTTGCATTTTGTCACAGCAGAAGAAAAAGCTAACTAAAGAAAAAAAAATTCACTAATTGAGTGCAATAGTATTGAAGAAAAAGAGTTTTTATTTCTCATGAGATGTCGCCAAGCCTGAGTTATAGTAATGAATGAAGTACCGAAGAGTAAAGAAGAGTAATTCAATTTCTTTCGATTTAATTTAAATCTAATTTTTAATCTTATCTCTCTAAAATAGCTTTAGATTAAAGCCTTTGGATTAATTACCTTAAAGCGCCCTCACCAGACTCACTTTGTAAGCTTAACAAAATTATATTGAGAGAAACCTCTTGTCCTCTACTCTTTGTGAATAACCCTATTTTATGCGTCTGTTGGAGACCAATGTGCTTGATGATTATCATGAGCTAATATTTGAAATAAGAATAATCATTGACTTTTTATCAGCTTTTAATCGTCACTTGCACAATACTATCTTTTTACGCATTATGCTCATGACTAGCTTGCTTTTCCTTGTTATTTATTCATTTAATGATCAGTTTTCCATAAGCAATACAAGGTAGCAGCATCTAACAATTGTTAGCGTAACGTGTTCTGTTGCATACGCCGCCGCATTCAGCTTGGATAGAGTGAGCTTTATTATTTTCTGAAATACAAAATTGAGGAAAATAACATTTGATTAAATTGGCTGATAATTGCATGTGGGTCAGTGTTAAAACGTTCAATTTAACCCAAAATTGAATAAAATGAATTTTATAATTTGTTCATCGAATGACACAATCAGAAAGTTTAAAAATTGAAAACTTACAAATAATTGTTTGACCAAAGTGGAATCACAACTTATCATTGCAATAAATTCATCAATAAGTTGATTAACAATTCCTCGAACTTTAATCATTACCAATGATTGCTTGTAAGGAAGTTCATAGTCAATCAATCAGTGCCCCTGACATTGTCAAGCAAGGATATCTTTTTGTTAAGCGACCCCCAGGAAATCATTGGAACAAGTTAAAGGTAAAAACGAAACATTTCAATTAATAAAATAAAATCATTTCACGATCTATTTTGACAATTATATTTCGCAGTGAACAGAAACTTACAAGAAAAGTTCTACCAATAGAAATTCAAGAAGATATTTTCCAGACAAGGTTGTTCATCTTCGAATTGTTTGGTCAGAAAAGTGCAACATTCTAGAGAACAAATGATTTTTGTCGAAATACGAAATTAACCTCAAACTAACTGTATATTTAGCCTGATCATTCATGGTTTCTCCTTGAATTATTCATTCCTTCTTCCCCAATCATCTCAACAATTGCATGTAGTAACAATGTTTCAACTAAGCAACTTGTTCGGCTTCAAAGATAATACTTAATGGTAAAAGTTCAGCATCAATACTGTCAATGATCCTGTATTCAGAATCATTAAATCAATAGATTCAATAAAATCGATGTTGACGAATCAATATCCTTGTTTTGACGTTAATTCAGTAAACATTTGGAAAGAAAAATATTTTCATTAAACATTCATTTCCTCGCTCATTTTTATTACTGAATCATTTTTCAGTGTAAATTACCTTTAAACTGGGATAAACATTCTTACCATGAAAGTTGGAAACTAAAGAGAAAAGTTCATTCAATATTAAAATAAAATTCGATGATAAATGTTTTCCATTCTTGTCACCTTATACCATTCGTACAATCATGTTTACTCATTTTTACTTCATGTCAGTTGAATTATTCAAAGGATAACAATTTGACTTAAATGATGACAGATTATCATCTGGAATCAAGTAAAATCATCTGTTGCTTTCAAGATAAAAGTTTTTAATTTTTCATTCTTTTCTCTCCTTGTTACGGATTAATTCCAGGCTTGGCATAAACGATTTTTCATACTGAGAGACACTGGCTCAGAACAGGGTGCTGAACTTGCCATGTTTTACTCGCAAGCAGATTCACGGATAAACTCACCTTCACTTGGAGTAGTTTTACGTGATACGGTTCACATTGGAATAGCCTCTGAATCTCACAGATTCCCGAATGTTCTAGTTGTCGTTTTCAATGGAAGATCACCTTTACTTCTGGCTGCTGAAGATGAACTAACTGCCAAGTAAGTACAGAATAATCATTCGATAATTGTTTGAAATGAGATTCCCAGCTGAGTTGACAAACGAACAGCAATTATTTTGTTAAAGATGTTGGTTGAAGAAAGAATTTCCAACGAAATAACTTTTTCTCTTGTTCATTGAATTGAAAAGAAATTAATTGATAAATTTTGTCATATTTAGTTTCAATTTTGTCGAGTTTTCAAGCTCAAGTTTTGAGATTTTTGATCTTTTCTACTTTCACTGCATTATTGGTTGTGAGTTAGAAAATGATTTTTTTTCTTTCGATGAAAAAAAGCAAAACTGATGAGTGAAACTTGAACTCGACAAGTTTAATGCAGTATCAAATGATTCGTGTCATGAACTTTGAAAGTTAAATTTAATTTGAAATGTTCGCTGGTTCAGAAATGAACTTTGATTTAAATAAATTGAAATGTTACAAATGCTTAATGAATAAAAAAAGATGATAAAAATGACAAAAATATCGATTATGCAGGTTCGAGTAAATAAGGTGAATCGACTAACCTCGTCTCTTCAACAGGCTAATCATGAGTGTGTACTTAAGGTTTGAATTATTCACTTGTAATTAATGGTTGACTTGATGAGAAACAATTTTTTCTTCATCAAACTTGTTCATTTTGCTTTCTCATTTACACATTGAAAATGGGAATTTTGCTCCAATCTCAGGCAGTAAAGATTATTCAGCTTGCAATCTATGAATAATCTTTGGGTAAACTCTGAATGAATAAACAGTTAGATGGTAAATTCACTGTTAACCCACTCAAAAGTGAAAAAAATTATTGTTTCATTTAATCTTCTCAATGAAATTTTTCCATCAAAAGTTTACGAGAAAATAAAAGATGAAGTTAACTGGCTAGAATTTTATCTCTTTTAGTAAACTAATTAATCAGAATTAACCTCATTTTTGCATTTCCAACCCTTTTTTTGTCTGCTCATCGCACAACAACAATCAGGGAAGGAATAAATTCCAAAAAATGAAAGATCATTTGGAAAACAAAGCACAATAGATTAATTAATGATGCATATTTGAGTGAATGCAAAATCCAACAAAGGTTAACCAAAAGAGGGAAAAAAATGTTTTCCAATTTCATCTTTTCAAGTTTCATTGTTAATACAGATGAATTCACTTGGACAAAAGTTATCTAAATGTATTCATCGTAAAGTCAATTCTGAAAGAAAAATCATCTCATGTTTACTCTCTTCATTCATTAATAGTTCATTAATCAATTGTTTAGATAAATTTAATGTAAACGCTTAATGTAAATAATTGTCGCTCTTTACCTGTGATAAGGTTTAGTGGTGAAGTTTTGGGTAATTCAGGTTGAAAGATTGAAGAGATTTTGGGTTGACTAGATTGAGCAAGATTGGAGATTCTCTTTATTCAAACATTTTATGCAAAAATCAGACATTTTTCATTGACTAATGTCAAGGAGTTTTTGTTATTAATGTTATGTTATTGTTTGTAATTTTTCATATTTCACTCAGCTTGACTCTTTGTAGAAGATATCGTAACTTGAATTCAACAGCAATACAAATGAAGGGTATCAGTGGTTCGACTCTCAGATCACCTATTGACTTGAAACTTTTTCTTGTGAATTTCGAAGATAACTTTTTAGCTATAATTCAAGGTCGTTTTTCAGGATTCCCTCAAGATTATGTAAGAAGTCTAACAAAGGTCATGACAGCATTATTAAATTGAATAAATAAGCTGTGGCACTCTATGATGAACATTCATAAGTTATTGTCATCTAAGCGTTCAAACTTCGTGTTATACTCTTTCTCTTTTTGCCATAAACTGTTCCTTTCTTTTAAAAATTTACCCATACTTTCAACTCAAATCCAACTTACTTTCTTTGTCTTGTATTCTTGTAATATGAGAACTCGTTTTATATTAATAATTATATTAATAATTGCTCAAATCAAGTACTAAATCTTAGCACTTAGCAAGCACAAAGAATGAGTGCTCGAGGTTATTCAAAACAATACATTTAATTTTTAACCTCTCTGTACATTTAACCTTCTGTATTTGTTTTATTAGATGCATCTATTAGGTTGGTAAAAAAATAAAACTCACAAATCCCATACAATTTATTTCGTAAAAAAGTTAATAAAATGCCGAAATCGAAAAGGTGGCAGCTGATTCCGCTATATTGGTCTTTGAGAAGGTCCAAAGTACCGATATTAACTAATAAAGTCTCGATATCGATGCAAAAACTCGGGATTTTCCCTCAGAAGACTTGTCATTTATGAGATGAAAAATGAATTTTGTGCCCAAAAGTGTTAAAGAAACAGTCTCAATAATGCGAAATTGTAAAACGAGAGATTTTATGTGAAGATGTTTGAAAAAAAATTATTAGGGTTTCATCATTTTGACATGATTTGCAGTCCATCTGAAACTTCTGTTCAATTTTGGTCAATTTAGTAATCTGATTTTCTGTATTTTCTTCCATTTTGATTGAACATTTTTAGCTTTTTGCTGACTTTTTCCAATGAATTTAACTTATTTTTTATGAGATTTTTGATTATTTTGAAGCGCTTTTCACATCGATGATTTGATCGATTTTGCGTAAGAAATAATCGAAACCTTATTAAAGAAAACTCCAGCAAATTCATCTGGGATTATGTGATATCAGAATTTCAAATCTTGTTGAATATCAACGAATTTCTTTATTGTTCGATATCAAACAAAAATTGCAGCTTTGCAAAACCACTGATATTCAGGTGTTGCGTGGGATTTCGCTCTTATCGTGGATTCACCTTTAAATTACATTAAAGTAAATAAAATGAATTGAAAAGTATCTTTTTCAGAATGTTATTTGTTCATTGAGGATAAATATGAAAATTTATACTCTTGATTTACATGAAAACATAATCTCTTGAATTTTCAACAGAAAATCTCCAACTTTTCAAAACTCTTGATTTCAATATCAAAACGAGATGCTCACATAAACTCAGTTTATCAACATTCAATTTATCAAATTTTCAAGTTTGCCAATAAATCGTTGTGATTTTCATCAGAACTAAATAAGATGTGAATTGAACATTTACTTTCATTTTTTACTCCAACTGTTGGAGTATTGATATCACAAGAATATCAATTTAGTCTTCAATTAGTTTCAACTTGATAAACCTTAACCACAAAAGAAGAAGAAATGAAATTCAAATGTAATTACAAGATGATATTGATCCAATGAATGCAACTAAATCTGACAGAATTGGTTAAAATCTATTTTTGGTTCATCCCAATATCAGAATAATCTATTTTTCCTTATTGACTTACAGACACTGAATCCATTTCATTTTGACCAAAGCAACCTGTGTGGACAACAGACAGAAGAGTAAAAAGTAAATTCTTAGGTGATTGTTATCAATAAAGTAAATTACGGTTCAGACAGATTGATTGTTTACTAAATTCTCACCATCCATTACTATGATGAATGAATGAGTAAAAGAAGGCGAAATGTGAAATGTGAGAGGAAAAAGTGATGAGAGAAACGTTATTATTAATAACTATTATTATGAAGAGAATCGCAAAAAGAGAAGAAAAAAATTTCAACTCAACAATTTCATTTCATCGCCATTCATTCGTTTCTCAAGTTGACAGACTTACAAGTCTACAGTCTGAACTCGTCTTACATTGACCTTGTCTCATGATTAAATTATTTTTTTACATTTTCATTCCAAGTCTTTGTCTGGTTTGCAACAAAATATCGAGAGAACAAAAAAGTGGCTGGAATTTCATTTTACTCGGTTGACTAGTCTTTTGATCATTACACTTTTATCCAACGATCATGAACTTTATCCATCAGCTTATTGATCTTGATCTTTATTATCAATTTAAATGGGAATTCGGGTGAAAAGGAATTTTCAAAGTTTTCACATTTTCTTTCATTTTGTCCATTATCCATCAATGGTCAACAAGCTATCAACAAGTTGACAAAATCCCTGAAGTTAAGTGATATTTTGCTCGAAATGCGTCTTTAAGCAAATATCAATAGTTTAAAGCGTCTAATCGATTCTCTTTTTTTCATCCTTTAAATAGATTATCATGAATATCTGGAAAGTTACTTTTGATCAAGACTGTTCCACAGTGGATAGTGTTTGCTATATTTGCACAAAATTTGCATACAAATGTCTTTTTAGAGCTTGAATACAGAGATATTAATTTTTTGTACAATCAACTGTGAATGAAATAATGCTTGTAATTATTCAAAATTGAAACCATTGAAAGTAGTTAATCAGAAAGAGTAAAAGTTGATTAGAAGGTAAACAGGAATAATTTAAAATGCTAATTCAGTTGGTCGAGTTTATTACACAAACACTGATTGAATATGATTAAAAAAGGTTTCGTTATCACGAGATGCAACTTGCATCAAAATTAACTTTGAACATATTCATTTAATTGCAAAGCTATATTTGTTGAAATAATTGCAACTTTTTCATCCTTTCTCATCTTGAAACTGCTTTCAAACTTTTGAAGCTCAACATTATCCAACTTTTGTTCAATCCCAGTGCGAAATCAATTTTCGAGGAAAACTCTAAAAGTAACTTTTAGTAGATGAGTTAGACTATCGATAAAAAATGAAATTAGAACGATATCTCTGTGAATTTTTTGCGTCTACAAAATGGCAACATCAATATTTAGTCCAATCCAGAAACTGTCATAACAAGAACATAAATTTCGAGTTTTATTAAATTCCAAACAACTGCCAGTTCCCCTCTTGAGAAGCAATCAGTATTCATTGAAAACAATGTCAATTTTCATTGTCGTTGACTGAGCCTTCTGACGAAAAGTGTTGATTCAGTAACTAGAACAAAAAGTTTTGAATGGAATAGTTAATGTTTGTTTACAAAAATCTAAAAAACATATTTTCTCCGATTCTTTGTTTTCGATTCAGATCAATGAGTTATCGAAAAATTATCGCTGACTGGAGTTTGTAGACATAATATAAGCCAATAATTCCAGAAGATAAATCAGTCTGAA